CAAAATCTAAGTATTAAACATAATAAAACATAAACAGAAATTTTAATAGATGGTTTCCTGGCTCCATCTGGTGTTTATTTTACAGAATTTCTATCTCAAGGAAACCTGATTCCCACTCTCCTTTTCAGCTATACCTTGGAAATGAGGAGTGGTAATAGAAAGACACTTAAATTTATACATCTTGAGGGTTTACATTCAAAGTTGTATATTAGCTACTGTCAAGGTACAAGAATACTTTTTTTTTTTTTTTAAATCAGTGTTTATATCCTGTGATTTAAATCATATTCAGATGTGAGAAAGGGTTTCTATGGCCAACGACTTATCATTTTCCCTCATGATATCAGTTAGACTGCTAAAATACTATTTCTCCATACTAACCTTTCCTTGCTTACATCCTCATCGTGGCTAAATCATCAGTACTACTGCTTTATTAAAATTAACTCTCAAACACTTGCAACACAATTATCATAAGTATTCACATCAAATCTTTTATTGTTGCTGCTTCCAGGTCAGATAATAAAACGCAAGTTGGAAGGAAGAGTGAAAAGATCACCACTCGTCTGCTCATTGGGTCAAATATTTGTGGAGAAAGTACCTTTGCAGTCTGGGACAGAAATCACTGTTAGGATCACAGAATTATAGAACTGCCCAGGTTGGAAGGAACCTCAAAAGATCATCTGGCCCAATATTTTTGGGGAAAGGAAACCTAGATGAGATTATCCAGTACCCTGTCCAATCGCATCTTGAAAACCTCTGGTGATGAGGACTCTACCATGTCCCTGGGAAGGTTGTTTCAGTGATCGATTGTTCTCACTGTAAAAAATTTCTTTCTTAGATCAAGATGAAACCTCCCCTGATGCAACCTGTACCCATTTTTCGTTCTCTTTTCCACGTGGCTCCATGTGAAGAGAGAACGTCCACCTGCCTTACAGCTGCCCCTGAAGTGCTGGAATACCATGATGAGGTACCCCCTGAGCCTTCTCTTCTCCAGGGAGAAAAGACCTAACTCCTTCAGTCTTTCCTGCAAAAACCACTGATCACCACCCTCTGAGTGAGGCCTGTGAGCCAAATTCCTATCCATCTCATAGGCTACTCATCCAGTGTGTATCTTGTCACTCTGTCTAGAAGGTGGCTGTGGGAAATCCTGTCAAACGCTTTGCTGAAGTCCAGGTAAACAATATTCCACTGCTCTCCGCATGTTGACAGAAAACATCGTGCTGTTGTCAAAAGTGATCAGGTTTGTCAGGCATGATTTGCTTTTGGCAAATCCATGCTGGCTTTTCCCAATCACCTGCTTCATTTGGTTTGTAACAGCTTCTAAGAGAATTACTTTCCCGGGGATTGAAGACTAATGGGACTGTAGTCCCTCCTTGTAGGTGGGTATGACATATGCCCTCTTCCAGTCATCAGGGATATCCCCTGATCTCCATGACTTTTCAAATATTATAGACAGTGGCCCTATAGCTATGTCAGCCACTTCTCTTAAAACCCTGGGGTGGCTTCCATCTAGACCCATAGATTTATGTAGATATAAGAGAATAAGCTCTTCTTCGTTAGCATTTCCTGTAATATAATAGCATAGCGCCCTTCTTTTTCTACTGGGCCTAACATACAGAACTGTCTTGTCCCGGTATGTTTATATAATATCAAACTTATTGTAAAAAACAGGGTAGATTCAGTATTGTCCTTTAAGAAAAGGATTCTCACTTTCCATAGACTGGAGTATATATATATACACATATATATATAAACACCTGCACATGCATGTTAATACCAATATTAAATCAACATGAATGCATTTTCAAATATGATTTAGCAATTGAGAATAATGTAGTATAGCCAGTACTTCTTGTCAAACAAGCTTTCTGCATACCTCACGGGCTTGACTATACTTGTAGAGCACCTGAGCAAAACAGATAACATTGAGAAAGTCTTCACCAGCAGCAAATATGTTAAAAATTATACCTTTTTTTGTCCCTGTCTCAGAACAGTGAGTTTTCCAACCTAATTTTAAGTAGTTTACTCTTCAGGGTTCTTGGTTACAAGGCACAAGCTGTTCTCAAAGACATTGTTCATTATATGTATGGCTATCACTGCAGTCTTTACAACTTGCCTGTACATACTTATTGTTCAAAATTATCATACTATCTGTATGTCTCATCTGCAGGTGACAGAAGCACTCCGTATACTTGCTATTCAGCATGTCAGCTTTGGTTTTGACTGAATACATGCTCCTAGGACCTCACTGGTGCTCCATGACTTTTACATTCTTTTTTACACTGCAAATATTCACACTTCTGGACTCAGACCTGTTGTTTTCCCCCACAAAAGACTCAATTTCCTAAAACATGTGTGTGTGATGGCAAGGTGGAAGAAGCTAAAGCAAAGATGCTGTAAATCATTTGTCAGTCTCACTGAGCCCAGGTTTTCCTGGGGTACTCAGCCAAGCGCAGCCAGCTCGGTATCATACAAGCTCAGCGCACTCCCATTTAGTCTGCTGCTCCTCATCCCATCCTTATTCTCCACACAGTTACCAATCTCTATGGCAACAGCTGGTAGCTACCAGAGAAGAAGCTGCAAGAGCTACCTCAAAGAAGAACCAGACAGCCTTGAGCCCCTGGTCTGAGAAGGATTATGACTTGTATCATCCACTGGCAGGACAAGCAGGGAATTAAAAAAGCAAAGCAAATGAAAAGCAGGCCATGTAACTGACCCATCCCCAAGCAGGCAGAACAAATCCCATGGCATGTAGCACGATGGACTCCTTCCACCCCCTGAACGTTGACCAGAACAGCATCAGTGGTGTTGGAGATGGGGAAACTCATGTGCCTCTTCCCGAGTTACAAGCACTCCAACCAAGTTACAGCCAATGCCCAGGCTGGAGCAAGTGCTGCCTGCTTATGAGATATTCTGGTCTGAGGTGAGGGCACATCTGGGGGAGTACAAAAAAAGGGCTGTTTCTTTTTTTTTTTTTTTTTTTTTTTTTTTTCCCCCTTCCCAGCTGTAAGAGCAGGATAATTGTATTTATTGCTGTCAGACTGAGCTCTTCCTGTAACATGCCATCCACCATACCCACCCTCTAGTTTCTAACTCAAAATGATTCAGCATTGACTAATGTAAACGGAATGGATTTACTTTACAGGAAAAAAAGAAAAAATTATTTTTGGCTGCCCATTAAATGTCACAGAGGAAATTCATGGCATGTAGGAAAACAACTGTGTACAGTACTGTTGAGCCAAGGCTAACAGATGTACTCATAGTCTAAGCATAATAACAAGATTTTTAATGAGCAGAAAACCAGAAAAGCCTTATTTCCCTGTGGTGATACTGTGGAGGCATTATTATTACTAAAAGCCTTATTTTCTCCTGATTTCTGACATGTTCCGAGGAAGAAGTCTGTAATACTATCTCAGCTCTCTGATCCTGTGCACATGTAAATGGCCTCAGCATTAGGAAAGTAGTTATTACCAGGTGATTTGTTCCTGTTTCCAGGACTGAGCTAATTTCCAAGACTTCTGGGAACGCCATTCCAGAAGGCAAGGAATCCCTAGCCTGGATCTTGTGCCACATCCATCCAAACCTCTGCGTGCCATTTCCAGATATCAGGTCTGGCCCAGGGAGGCAACAGCAGCTTTGGGATAGCATGGAATTCAGAAGAAAGTTGTCTCAAGTCCAGCTCCTCACTATAATATCACCAGGACCGGAATAGAAGTTACTTAATATCTTTCTGTGCTTCCTTTCCTAAAATCGGTAGAAGATACTTTTTAACCTTATCAAGGCAAGTGCCCCAGAAAGGCAGGAAGCTACAGGTTTTCTATTATATGGAGCATTTGAGCTTTCTGGGAACGGAGGCTTAGTCTGAATTAACTTGGTTTCAGGATAGCGGTGCCTAATAGTTCCGTAATAGCCACATTTAACTTTGGCTGGGCTTTTTTTTTTTTTTTTATCTGAAATGGCATGTGAAAAAGGGATTTGTAATACATTGCAATAAAGTCTCAAATCTCCCTAACTGATATTTACTGCCCAAATCTTAATTAAGTGTAGCCATTAAAAGAAAATCCATTGCTTCACAAAGGACAACTACTCTTCGTTTTCTAACTGTGCTAGTTAAACCAACAACAACAAAAAAAAATAAAAAAAAAGAAGAAAGGGAACACTTTTTTTTTTTTTTTTTTTGAAAGCTCTGGTGGGATCATAGGATGATTCAGGTGGGAGGAGACCTCAGGAAGTCTCTAATCTAACCTCCTACTCAGGGCAGGGTCAGCTCTGAGTTTAGAAGGACTGCTCAGGCTTTATTTAACTCAGCTGGGTCCTGAAAAACCTCCAAAGGTGGACACGGCACCATCTCTCCGAGCAACCTGGGCCAACTGCCTGCCCACCTGCCTCCCGTAAACGACGGGGATCTGTCCTTAAATCCAGCCCAGTCCTCTCGTTTCATCTTGTCCCTGCTGCCTCTCGTCCTCCCACCCCACGCAGCCAAGACGAGCTTGGCTCCACCTGACCAACACCCCCTCTTCGGTCCCAGGGTACCCTGGATGTGGTCAGGTGACTGCAGAGTAAGGAAATAAAAATAATAAAAAAAAAAAAACAAAACCAAACACCACCAAACCCCTTTTTTTAGCCTTCTCCACCATGGGAGGCTGAGACTTCCCAAGCACTGAGGCGAGGGGCGCCCAACTCGTACAGGATTTTGCCCACATCTCGATGCCTAGCTCTCCCGATCCTCCCTTGAAGGCCCCAGCTAGCAATTACCCGTTTCTGTTAAAATTCGTCTCTCATTTAACTCCTTGGCGCGCCCCGTGGAGCGGCAGGCTCGACAGCCAGCACCCAGCCGCCTCCCTGGGCGGAGGGAGGGAGGCAGAGAGGCCTTACAAGACGCCCCGCCGTCCTCTTTGCTCGGCTCCTTATCCCCCCCCAAAAAAGCGTCAGGGAGCGGCCGCCCCGACCGTCGCCCCCCCCCCCCCCCCCCCCCCCGGAAAGCTCCAGGCCCGCGGCCGCCCGAGGGGCGCGGGCAGGCGGGCAGGCGGCGCTGGGCGCCCCCCTCCCCGCGGCAGTGAGGGCGGGCCGGCACCCGGAAGAAGGAGCCGCCGCCTCCCTCCTGACTTCCCCAGCGGGCAAGCAGGGAGGCAAGCAGGGAAGCCAGGCGCTATGCTGCAGTTCTTGGTAAGGCCCGGCCCGGCGGCGGCGGCACCGCCGCCATTTCGCGGCGGGGCGGAGCGAGGCGGGCGGGGGCGGCGGTGCTGGGGCCGCTCCTCGGCCAGAGGAGGGAAGTCGCTGTGTGCGGTCGCCGCCCGCACCCCGCTCCCCGCGGGAGGCTGCGGGGAGGCCCGGCGGGCGGATGGCGGCCGCCGCCTCCCCCCCTCAGCCCCGCCGCTCGGCGCTGCGCGCCGGGGCTGCTCCCGCCCCGTGGCGCGACTCGCCCCCGTGGCCGTGAGGCCGCCTCAGCGGGGCGGCTGCGCCCCGTTTTGGCTCTCCGGCGGCTCAGCGTCCGTGTGCGTGCGGCTTCGGGCCGTTTCCCTTCTCTGGCTCCTTCAAGCCCGCCCTGACCCCCTGAGCCGCCTCGGCCCGCTTTGCGGTACCCGCCGGGGGGGGTCCCTGCTCCCCGCAGTGCGCTGCCTTAAAACGAGAAGTTCCTGCCTTGTCTTTTCTCCAAGTCGTGCCCTTAATTTGCCTGAGAGAGTCAGCAGTCCTTGCTTGCTCACGGTGATGCCCTCCTGCTGCTCGGATTTCTTTGTATGAGCGTGTGTGCCTCCCTCCTCTTGTGGGAGCAGCGGTTTCCAGTCCTTGCCATTTTGCTCGCCTTTAAAAATTTATCACTGGAGTTGGGGATTTTTTTATACATGGAAGTTAAGGCAAGGGATCGTGTTTCATTACTGCCTTTCATTAAATCTCCCTTACAACAGCAGAATTAATAAATTCTGTCTTTTTGTTGCAGTTGCTAGATGAAAACTTTAATTAGGACTTCTTGATTAGTGCCTGAAAGTTAGAAAAAAGGCATACTAATTCTGCGTTTCCTCCCTCTTTGGGTGTAGATTGAGTATTTGACCCTTGCTCTCCCTTTTTAGGGCTGTAACAGAGAGATAAAGGGATAATCTTGCAAACCATGTATTTTTGCTATACAGAGTTAAGCATGAAATAAACATTTGTTTAAAGTGCAGCTTGAAATGCTGGGTAAAAATTTGTAAGACCCTGAACTCCCATCAGCCTTGTTGTCCTTAGTTAACACGCATATTTTAATTGGCTGTGTATCTGCTATCCACATAATTGAAGTCTAAATAGTGAAATGTTTCCCTGTTCTTGAATTGTCAGCTGTAAAAGTAAATGTAACTGGGTGGATTGCTCTCGAATGCAGTGCTAGACTTTTCAATAAAGGAGTACACTTAAAGGGAGTACTGGTATCAGTACTATCTGTACTGTATAAGTCTTATCACACAGCAGAATGGGTTAGTTACACCATTTTTTGGAAATATTCTAGGGTGAAGGCCCAGAAAACTGCTAATAAACAAGTGAGTTCTGAGTGCTAAAGATACAGGAAATTCTCTGCTAGAATGATGCTCTGCATTAAGAGCAATCACAAGTCTGGTTTACATCAGTTTGATATTTGTTAATATCTCCCAGAGTACCTTAACTGATATTTAAAACCACAAGAGCAAATGACAACCAGTACATTGTACACAAAAAGTATTCTACTTTTTCTTAAATTGTTAAAGCTATACTCCTTAAAAGGTAATAATAAACAAAAAAAAAGACCAAAAATCTGTTCAAGAAAATACTGATGTAACTTGCAGTCATGGTTCATTTGACAGTTTTCAACAATTTCTGTTTTCTACAACTTTTCACCAGTGATGCTTACAGAGTCAGAATCACTGAAAAGATGAACTGCTCTGTGCTTGGAAAAGGTGTCTCGTCAATATGTGATGGCAAAGTTGTTATTGTGGACAGTGATTTTATTTTTTTTAAAATATTCTGACAGCAGTGACCATGAGCAAAGCCGGTTTTCTTAAGCAGAACTGGTCTCAGCTGTCATATAGAGTGATTTGTCTACTGACAATGAACGAAGGCACAATCAGTAGTGTCCCCTTTCAAAACACTTAAATGAGTTTTCATAGTGTAGGATGTACGTACTATGAAACATAACAATAAAATAAAATCTAGGATCCTGGGAAGTTGCTGAATGACAGTCTCATCACCTGTCTTTGAAGAGAGGAATTTCTTTCACTCTAAAAGTGTTGTTATGCTTGAGGATTTTCCTCGGCTAGCAAACAGGGTCCAGTTCAGACACTGTGCTTCTGTTTTGCTCTCATTCTCCTTCCAGGGTGCATTTTCACAGACACCCTTCAGCAACCCTGAGTTTGCACTGTTGTCAAAAGAAGTTGTGCCCTGCTTCCAACCAACGGTGCTTTTCTGCTTCAGAAGAGCCCCTAGATCAGAGTAGATTTGGCTGAAAACTGATCTCTTGGAGTCAAAGGGGTCTGGAAGGTGCACAGTTGTTAGTTGTTGCAGAAGAGAAGTAGCAGGGTTGCATCAGTTGAAGTTGATGGAGGAACTCTACTCTTAAACCTTATAGAGTGAGACTGGGATCTTTTTGCAGTCAGAGCCTCTGTTCTGACTCTCAAGCCTGTGAACCCTTTTTTTTTCCTGTATATTCCTGTGTTATGTCTTTGTGTATGTGTGTCCCTCTCCAGCACTGAACATCGTTTTAGTGGGGTGTTGATTTAGGCTTTCCAGGCATGGACAAAGAGCTACGTGATATGTAGGTCCCTGCTGCTATCTTCCCCCATTTTTATAGGAGTTACTGCCTTTGTGGGTGTGCAGAGAATTTTAAAAAGATGATCATAACCTGATCCAAATAGTCTTGGAGATGTGTATTAAAAACGCAACTGTGCTGTATTTTGGAAAGAATGGTAAGGCTTGCCTGATGAGGAAGATGAGCAAAATCGCATCTCTCTGCAAGAAAGATGAGAAATTAAGTAGGAATTGAAACTCTTTAGTCTTCACATGACTTGTAATATTCCTTTTTCTTTATTTTAACCAATATGCTTTTCATGGAAGGATGTTAACTATTCTTTTCTCCCTTTCTTCCTTTTTAGCTTGGTTTTACTCTTGGCAATGTGGTTGGGATGTATCTGGCTCAGAACTATGATGTGAGTATCATTGTATTCTCAGTTAAACCTATTCTGAACTGAAAATATAAGGCGGTTTTCCCTCAATCAGAACTGTATCAGTCATTATTTTGATAGTTTATTGTATTTAAACAGAATGCAGATCACACTAACTTTTGTTACAGATGAACTCGAATGTAAATGGAACCAAAATATCTATCTCTGACATCTGCTCTATGATAGAGTAATGCTTAGGGCCTTAATGGGTGTTGGGGCCCTAGAGCACAGGTATGATAAACAGTCATCTGCATAGGGACAGGAGAAACAGAACAGGTTTAGCAGCTGCTTAAGGATTGTACTGGTGTTAAATACTGGTTTCCTAACTCAGTCTGTCTGCTTGCAGTGGTTTCCACTCAGTACACTTGTTTATTACTTAAAAATCCATCAGAGCATCTGAAATTTCTGTCTTTTGTACCAATAATGAAAGTAAGTTTTGCCAGTTTTTTTTTTGAAAATTCAGCACCTGCACCTACTCCAAGCAGTGTATCAACCTGCAGTCTTTCATCCCTTCTTTCCTTACAGTGAGAAAAGAAAGTGAGCTTTCTTTCCTTGGTTCTCACAGTGAATGGATATTTTTCACTGAGTCAGTAGAAGAAGATTTAGAGATGAGTCTTCAACAACAGGAATGAAGCACTGCTGGACTTGCTAGTCACAAGCCAAGAAAACCTACTTCGTAGTTTCTCAATTAGTGACAGCCTTGGCTGCAGGGATCACAATATTGTGGAGTTTGAGATCCTGCTGAACACGCAGGAGTGTTCAGCAGTAGGAGGACTAACCTGCTGAAGGTTAGTACTAAGACAAAGGTTTTAGATCTTAGAAGAGCAAACTTCAGCTTGTTCGGAGCTCAGTTGGGAGGGATTCCCTGGGAAGCTACCACGAAGAATAAAGTAGTGAGTGCTGGGAGTTTTTCAAGACTTCTCTCCTGGAAGTATAAAAACAGTTAGTTCTCTTTAAAAGTAAGGGCAGTAGGTGAAGCAAGAGACCCCTTTGGCTTAACTGCGGCTTCTGAATCTGCTCAAAACCAAAAGAGAAGTGTACCAGAGATAGAAAAGTGGATGAATACCCGTTGAGAATGACAAGGGTATTGCCTGGGTGTGCAGATGCAGTTAGAAAAGCAAAAGCTCAGCTCAAATTGAATTGGTCAGAGATGTCAAAAACTGCAAGAAAGAGTTCTTCAGGTATGTAAATAACAAGCAGAAATGGAAGGAAAACATTGTTCTTATGTTAAACAGGAGCGATGAATTTAGTTACCAACAGTGTTGAAGAGGCAGAGGTTCTCAAGACTTTATTCACCTCTGTCTTTACCAACGCTGTTGGGGCCCAGGCCTTGGAAACAAAAACCCAGGTCGATGCAAACACAGACCCAGTGAAGGAAAAGTTGGTATGTGAACTGCTACAGGAGCTTGACCCTTGCAAATTTACGGGCCCTGACGTTACCCACCTGAGGGTGTTGAGAGCTGGCTGACATCATTGCGAGGCCGCTCTCCGTAAGCTTTGAGAAGTTGTGGAGATTGGGGGACATTCCAGGAGACTGGAAAAAAGACTAATGTTAGCCCCATCTGCAACAAGGGCTTAAAGAAGGATCCAGGAAATTATAGGCCCATCCATTTTACTTCATTCCCTCAGAAAGTCATGGAACAAATCCTCCTGGGTTCTATCACAAGTCAAATGAAGCACGTGGTTGGGTAAAGCCAGCATGGATTCACCAAGGGCAAGTCATGCTTGACAAACCTGATCACCTTCTACGACAAAGTAACTTGCTTGGTTGATGTGGGGCAACCTGTGGACATTGCATATCTGGATTTCTCCAAGGCTTTCGATATAGTTCCCACAGCCTCCTCCTTGAGCAACTGATGCATTATGTCTAGACAAGTGGTCTGTGTGGTGGGTGGGGAACTGGCTGACAGGCTGCACCCAGAGGGTGGTGGTAAATAGCTCTTTTTCAAACCTGTCACAAGTGGTGTCCCCCAGGGATTGATATTGGGCCCAACACTGTTTAATATCTTCACAAGTGGTCTGAGTGATGGGATCAGGTTACCCTGATGAAGTTTGTTGACAATACCAAACTAAGTGGGGAAGTGGACACTTTGGAAGGGAGAACCACCCTGCAGGAAGACCTGAATAAGCTCAAGAGTGAGCTAACAGGAACCTTATGAAGTTTAAGAAGGACAAGTGTCAGGTCTTGCACCCGGGTAAACATAATCCAGGAGTGCAGCACAGGCTGGGATCTACCTGGCTGGGGAGCAGCTCTGGGGAAAGGGACCTGGGGAACCTGGTGGACAACAAGCTCAATAGGAGTGACCAGTGTGCTGCTGCATCAAAGCAAGCCAACAGGGTGCTGGGCTCCATCAACGAGGGCATCACCAGCAGAGATAAAGAAGTCATCATCCCACTCAGTGCTTGTCAGGCCACACCTGGAGTAATGTGTTCAGTTTTAGTACCTGCTCTACAAAAAAGATGTGGACAGGCTGGAGAGGGTCCAGAGAAAGGCGACAAAGATGATCAAGGGGCTGGGAAGCCTGCCATGTGAGGAAAAGCTGAGAGAACTGGGTTTGTTCAGCCTTGAGAAGAGAAGGTTTAGGGGAGACCTTATCACCCTGTTGCAGTATTTAAAGGGTGGCTATGAAGAAGATGGAAACTCCCTTTTTGCAAGGAGTCACATGGAAAAGATGAGGGGTAATGGGCACAAGTTACTTCTGGGGAGATTCTGACTGGGCACAAAAGGAAAATTTTTCACCATGAGAACAATCAGCCAGTGGAATAATCTCCCCAGGGAAGTGGTGGATTCCCCAACATTGAACACTTTTAAGATTCAGCTAGACAGGGTGCTGGGCTGTCTTGTCTAGACCGTGCTTTTGCCAAGAAAGGTTGGACCAGGTGATCCTTGAGGTCCCTTCCAACCTGATATTCTATGATTCTGTGATTCAGCACAAGCTTTTAATTTATTCAGAGTCAGCAGGTTCCCTTGTAAGAGCAGTGCCACTTAGCTGTTTACAGGCTGGAGGAGTTTATGAAATTTAATGTTGTTTTGTTTGTTTGTTTGTTTGTTTGTTTTCCCCTTTCCTAGGCAATCTATATTATCCTAGTTTAAAAACAGAAAGCTGTGGAGGATCAAATGTCTGATGACCTTTATGATTTGCTTTCCTCTTGTCTTCAGTATTGAAGTCATCTTGCTTGCAGAATTCTTATTTTTTGCTCCTTGCTCATGCGCAATCTTTCATGATGCTTCCTGTCTAGTCACTCCAGTAAGAATACTAACAAAAGGCTGTTTTTTCTTTCCAGTATATATTTTACAGTGTTATGAAAACGTAGTCATAAGAACATATTTGGTTGTATCAATATGTATTGTAAGCATGGTATAGTGCTTTTCTGGCAGCACTAATAAAGTGTTGCCACAAGAGGGGGACTTATGCCTTTGATTTGCAGGAAGTGGTTCCCCGGGAATGTAACACTAAGTTGCAGTATGAACATGGTAATTTTATTGCTGGTATCAAAGATGATTTGTTTTAGATGGCATCTAAGATAACTTGTCATAATGAGGTCCTCGTTCCGCAGCTGTGTGCACATGTGCTTAGTTATAAGCACGTGGAGGGTTCTGCTGACAGCTGTGGAGTTCTCTTGGTTTAACATAAATGTCAGGCATGTTACAGGCTGGGCTCTTAATTTCGTTCACTCAAACAGAGCTTAACTATGAGAGAGAAGGTAAGAGAGAAACTAATGATACTACCTGTACTATCAGTCTCAAGCCATACAATGAGAGAACTGCAGTCTGTTTGGATTAACTTCCTTCCTCTCTGTGGTCAGGTTAGATATGAAGTAAAAGCCCATGATTTGTTTTCACAACTACCAGTGGGAACTTTGCTTTACTTTCATTTTAATCAGTTAGCTTGTAAAATCCTGTGTTATCAATTCCCAGTTTTAGCTAGAGTCATGAGATAATCTATTCCCTGCTCTTAAAAGTTACTGCTTTTTTTTTTTTTTGTTGAAGTTGTCAAAATTTAATGTTGGATTGCTTTATCAAAATATTTTAATTTGCAGGAGAAAGCTGAAGTTTTGAAGTTCACAAGCGGTAAATTAAATTTTCATTCAAGTGTGAAACTGCAGAAGGTTGCCAATTTGCAATGCAGTAGAATCCCCTCGTGGGGAATTTTGGTTCTCACAAAATGGACCAGGAAGAGTATGTCTTCATAAATTTCTTGAGAACATAATTGGTGCTCTTGAACACCTCTTTTGTCTCAGTTTGTGACCAGTATAGTGCAATCTAATTTCCCCTCTGAAAGTCATTATTAAAACTGTGTGCACCAGTGCTTAAATCGGCTTATTCTTAGCAGTCTGTCTTCTTTGATTGAGGAAGACAGACTGGTCTTACTAAATTTCCTGTGAAGTGATCTTTTTTCCTCCTTCCTGTTCCCGTCACCACTGGCTGACTTTTAGTTTTAACAATCTAAAATATTTCCTGAAGCCTCATGTGAGGTGCTTTCATCTGCCATTTGCTTGATTTTGCTTTGTTTTTAACCTCTGCAAGGTAACAGATCCTGGAAGAAAATACCTTTTAGAAACCAGTTTAAACTTCATAGAATTTCTTGCTGTGTTTATGGTATTGTTTTTCCTGCTGAGGCTTACATAGTTCAGGATTTTTTGTTAATTTATGTGGGCTTTGTTTGTTTTTTTGGTTTTGTCTTTAAAGATTCCTAACATTGCAAAGAAGCTTGAAGATTTTAAGAAGGATGTGGAAGCTAAGAAGAAACCTCCCAGCGACAAGTCCTAAGAGAGTAATATTGCCCAGATCACCTCTGTGCATGCATCAAGGATGCAATTTACCTTTCAGGCACAAAGATCAAGTAGAGTGTTGGCATGGGAGGTTCCTCCACTTTCAGTCTCCTAGAACTGGAATGTCGTTCTTTTGGAAGAGCAGCCGTGAACTTTTCCTGAGCCTGATTTTCAAGGGTTTCAGAATTTGGATTTGCAGCTGATATGTGACTGGATAAGATCATTTGTATTTTTTGTTATTGCTTTTCCTAATATTTTGTAACCCATTTTCACCTGATCCTGTTAGTCCTGTTACTAGGCGTACCTCATACTTTGTAATACCCTAGTTCTTAGAACATTGCAGAAGAAATTAAATGCTTCAAGAAGTAACTTTCAGGGTTTCTTGTCATTTGTTGCAAGCAATGGTATTTCACTGTCCTTAAGACCCTGGTTCCATTATTGGAGATGGGAAAGTTCACTTGTCAAGCTATGAATTTGAGGAGAAGGGGAGAGCTCTTACTTTTTCCGTTAAGCTAGATGATCACTTCCAGCAGTGTACACTTTGCACAAAGATGGCTGATGTAAAAAATTGTAGAAGGCCATCAACTTTAACCTATGTTTCAAATTCATTGTTTCTTCTAGTATTGTCTCTTCCTCTTCTTTCCCTTCTTCTGGGTTGCTTGAGGATGTCTCTGGAGTGATGGAGGGGCTGGGAAAGACGAGTTATCTTCCATAAGCAGTAGTTGGGGCATGTGGAGATCGGTAGTGACATTGTGAATTCAAACCATTTGCTTTATGTACTCAGTGGTCCAGTTGGTGTAATTGTTCTAAGTATGCTTTTTTTTTTTACTGCCCCTTGGTGTGGAACAAGGACTAAAGCTCAGTATTTCTGTCAAATATGTCTGGTATTCCCATTACTTCCTCATTCATCTGCGTGGTCTTCAGCCCATTGCCTTTGTATTTAGTTCAGCTGTCAATCATGTATTTTCTTAGGATTAGAACCATTTATCTACCCTCCCCCTTATTGTTTGTTTGGTATGCTCTTCAACCTCTCCTGCCACTAAAAACCCTGGTGTGTTAGAAAATACACATCGTACTGTAGCACTGTTCTCTTCTGTTTGAATGAAAGGCAAAATCTGCATTTGGAAATGACAGTTTTGCACAAAATTCTGTTGTAAATTCTGAAGAAGCATGGGCTCTTCTCCACAGGTCCTACCAGGAGTCTGTTCCAGTGCAGGTTACTCACAAGCTCACAACCTCCTTTGGGCATCCACCTGCTCCAGCATGAGGTCCTCCACGGGCTGCAGGTGGGATCTGCTCCACCATTAACCTCCACGGGCTGCAGGTGGGATCTGCTCCACCATTAACCTTCACGAGCTGGAGGTGGGATCTGCTTCACCATTAACCTCCACGGGCTGCAGGTAGGATCTGCTCCACCATTAACCTCCACGGGCTGCAGGTGGGATCTGCTCCACCATTAACCTCCACGGGCTGCAGGTGGGATCTGCTCCACCATTAACCTCCACGAGCTGGAGGTGGGATCTGCTCCACCATTAACCTTCACGAGCTGGAGGTGGGATCTGCTCCACCATTAACCTTCACGAGCTGGAGGTGGGATCTGCTCCACCATTAACCTTCACGAGCTGGAGGTGGGATCTGCTCCACCACGGGCTGCAGGGACACAGCCTGCCTCACCATGGTCTTCACCACCGGCTGCAGGGGAACCTCCTCCCCTTCCTTCTTCACTGACCTTGGTGTCTGCAGGGTTGTTTCTCTCACATGTTCTCACTCCTCCCTTCAGCTGCACTTGTGAAGGCTTTTTTTCCCTCTTCTTAAACACGTTATCCCAGAGGTGCTACCACCATCGCTGCTGGGCTCGGCCTTGGCCACTGCTGGGTCCATCTCGGAGCCGGCTGGCGTTGGCTCTGTCGGGCACAGGGGAAGCTTCCAGCAACTTCTCACAGAAGCTGCCCCTGTAGCTCCCCCGCTGCCAGAACCTTGCCATGCAAACCCAGTACACATACCTAGAGTGCTTCACCATCAGTGTTTTAGTTAGGATAAGGATTGTGCCTTCAAAGTGAATTGTCCTTTTACCGTGTTTTCATTCTTATCACGGGAAGACTGTAGAGCACGTGGACTGGATTTCTTTCAGAAGAGATTAAACCAGAAATGTGATTTGATTTCTAATGTGTGTTTAGTCTGTTAGACAGGCTTAGAGAGATTCAGAGAGAAAAATGTCTCCAGCTTTGGACACTATCTATTTTGCTCTGTAGGCCCAATGGACTGCGGTGTTTGAGGTAAACATAGAATGAAAACTTTTAAGTACAGGACTCCCCATGTACCCATTGTAATTTTCACCCTCTGCCCCAAAAGCCTTTAATTCGGTTACATCTGGGTGGATTCCAATCTCAGGAGTCTTCACTGAATCATCAGACACATTTACAGAATACCTTACACCAAAATTTTGTTTCCTTTTCTGAAGTCTGGTGATGGCAGAGTTCTTCCACGAATGCAGTCCTGCAACTGAGGAAAGGATTTCTCATCTAAAGATTCTCCTTTGTAAAGAATATAAATATATGTGTATGAGAAATATTTCACCTGTAATTTCTCATCCTTCCTTTTACCATCTGCTCTGAAATGTGTGGCTGACATAAAGCCTTTCAGTCTCTACTGATGAGTATTTGGGAAGTTTAAAAGCTACCTTAAGTCAGACAGTCTTAGTATCTATGCTACCAACTCTCCCTATAGTAAACACTCAAAATACTCAAACAGGGAAAAATTATGTTTACCACCTAACATTAGTTATTAGAAAGCTTGTGGTAGCTGTATGTGGTGAAGATACCAAGAATGTGCTTGGTGAAGAGAGTTCACAAGTATCAGCTATGTTTAGCTATTACTGAATTAGTAGTGTACGCTGTGGTCTTTCAAAGGGGTTTGCATTAGCTCTCATAGACTTTAAACCAGACTGAAAGAACTGTCTTCCATATCCAAAAACTTTTTCGTGGTGTGAGACTGCACTGCACAGCTGTTTTAATGCTTTCATGAATGTGATGAATTTAGTTTCCCCCCAGATTCCTTTCTCACCCCTTCCCTCCCCCCCCCACTCTTTCTTTCCTATTCTTGAGCAGAGTTTTGAAAAATATTGGCTCTAACCCGTTCATATTTCTTTGTTTATCATATAAAATTATGTTAATGTTTAAAATCAGATTATTTCTTTCCTCAAACATGCTTTATGTTCTTCCCTTGCTTTACATGGACATGAAAGGGGAAACAATATTAAAAATCTCTATATTTGTTGCCAAACAGTCCTGTGTTTCTCTAAAAGTGTAATTTGGAGCTGAAACTTTCAGCTGAGCATTCCAATCAGATGTTAGGGCTTTTTTTTTTTTTTTTTTCCCCTATCAGATTATGAAGTGAACCAGTTATAACTGTAGTGCCGTAGAAACAATATATGCTAATTAATATTAAAGACTGGACTTCTTAAGTGTTTTACACTGTTTGCAACACTTTCCATTTTAGCTCAAGCTGTCTTTTTTGTCCCACATAGTAAGCTGGAGAGCTGGGTAACATAACACAGTTCTTGTTGACTTTGCAACTACTGTATAATACATTTTACCTAAGTGCTTCAGCCTGAGGCTATCCTAGACAATACTAAAGATTAACCTTGTATTTCAGAGGGCAGAGAGTACACACAGATAATGACTGCTTGGTGCAGATCTTGCATCTCAGGGCTCAGAGGGCTTTGGATGCAGTGATCATAGCGGGTCGCACAGGATGAATGCACCTTCCAGATACCTAGAAGCAAGCTTTCCACTTTACATGAGTACTGTGAATTTGTGCATGTTCAAAATGCCTATGTGCATAGCTGGAATTGCCATCTAAAATATGCAGTTTTCCTTGCTTTGCTAAAAGCAGTTGTATTCATTCTCATGTATTGATTCTTTTGAGACATGTCCTAGGAGCTGAAGGTGCGAGGAAAAAGGGGAGGAAAGGAATATGAGCTACTAACAGACTTCTGAAATATTTACTGTGGTTTGAGACTGTTACCTTCTGATGGAAAATGCTGATTTGTAGACCATCTTCCATTGAATACAGTAAAGGGTTAATACTGAAAATACACACAATGTCAGATAGCAAAACTAATTATTAGCTTACTGGGCACCAGAGCTCAAATAAAGACAGTGGATTTACCTCACAGAACTTAATTAACATGAATATTCAGCGGTACCATTTTATGTCACAGAACCACAGTCCCTTGTTTCATGATTTGTGCTCCATCCCTTGATCTTTGTGACCCTTGGGTGCAACTGGGTCCGGTATGCCCATGTGCCTCTTGTACTGGGGAGCCCAGAACTGGACGTAGCAGTCCAGATATATTTCACCAGGGCTAAGAAGAGAGGAAGGATTACCTCCTCCCTCAACCTGTGGAGGATGCTCTGCCTAAAGCAGTTCAGGGTGCTGCTGGGCTTCTTTGCCTCAAGGGCACATTGCTCTCTCATGTTCAGCTTGACTACCAGGACCCCCCCAGGTCCTTTTCTGCAACGCTGCTTTTCATTTAGTCAGCTCCCCCTTGTACTGGTGTGTGGGATTCTTCCGCCCCAAATATGGGACTTTGCATTTCCCTTTGTAGGACTTAATGAGATTCATGTTGGTCCATTTCTCTGGCCTATGAAGATCCTTCTGAATGATAGCACAACCATCTTGTGCATCAGCCCCTTCTCCCAATTTTGTACTGTCTACAAACTTGCCATGGATACGCTCTGTTCTATTGTCCAGGCCATTAATAAATAGGCCAGTGTTTGTTAAGTCAGTATTGGCCTTGGTATTTCCCCCTGGGGAACACCACTAGAGACTGGCCTCCAGCTGTACTTTGTGGTGCTGACCACAACACTTTAAGCCCAGCACTTCAGCCAGTTTTTGACCCACCTTACCCTTCCGTTGTCTAGTCCATGCTTCCTCAATCTGTCTGTGAGGTTGTTGGGGAAGGCTGTGTCAAAAGCCTTGCCAAACAACATCAGGTGCTCTCCCCTCATCCACCAAGTTAATGATTTTGTTGTACAAGTGCCAGGCTGGTCAGGCATCATTTCCCCTTCACAATTTCATCCTGACTACTCTCAATCACTTTCTGGTCCTTCGTATGTTTGGAAAAAGCTACCAGGAGGATTTGCTCCTTCACCTTCCCGAGGATTGAAGTGTGACTGACCAGCCTGTAGTTCCCCAAATGTTCCTCCTTGAAGATAGGAGTGACATTTGCTTTCTTCCAGACCCCGGAGGCCTCCCTGGGTCACTTACCCTTCAAAGACAACAGAGAGTGGCCTTACAATGACATTGACCAGCTCTCCCAGCACTTCTTTAGATTTCCTTTTGCAGCTGGTGTGATTCCAGAGGCCCTTCTTGTTACAAAACCTGGAACCAAGGGTGATCCCAGTGCAGCCAGTGTCCTCACCAGTGGGCCGTAGCCCCACAGGTCTGCACGCAGCCGGCAGCACCAGTGGCTGATGGTGGGACCCGCTGCCAGCCACAGGCGCAGGAAGGCAGTGAGACAGGACTAAGGTCCGTCCCAAGAAGTCTGCTGAACAAAAGGAGACAGAGCCAGAGAACTGAGTGGAGATGAGGCTGAAACACGGGTTCAGCATCCATCAAAGAGACAAGGCCAAAGGCAGACAGGAGCCTGGAGCTTCAGATCTGTGCTTAAGTGGGGCTGATGGGCCCAAGGAAAGAAGGTATGGGTGGGAGTCCCAGGTAAGGTTGGCCAGGGACATTTAGGCACTCCAGACCCCGACACTGGCTTTCCTAACCCCATTTAACTCAGTCAGATCACTGGTACCTCCAGCCACCTGTAAAAGTGGGTTATACTTCAGAGGAATTGGTCAAGGACAGGGAAAAGTTTAATGAAGCCAACTCTTCGCTTTTACATTAGGTAGCATCATCTACATCAGAAACTTTCGTTATGAGTTCAGGTAGAGATACGTGACTCCTGTTGATGTAGTGTATCACTCTCCACAGTGATTTCAGATGACTAATACAGTGCTGATATGGCAGAGGGGACAATTCTCAGTGGTGGTGCTGTGGGGAGTTGTGGTACCACTCAAAAGATTTATTGCCTTTTTGAAGGCAGAATTTTTCAACTGTGTCTCTGTTTTGTGGTTCTCCTTTGTCCTGTGGTGCTGGCAGCTGCGTGCACCAACTCCTCTATGCATGCGTCCTTGGAGAGATTTGTTACACATGCCGAACATCTGGAAATGTGCTTTGAAGGGCCCAGACTAATGTTGGGCCAGATTATAGGTGACCCTTAGGTTACTGGTGAAATTGAAATGTTGCAAAGGAAAAAAATGGAGTTTTCAGAATTACTAAGGAGTTGATTTCATAAGCCAAGATTATATCCATGTTTGCAGAAACATAATTGGGAATTGGTGTTCGTATGTAAAAATCAATATCCACTGTATGTGATGCAGAATTCTTCTGATTATTAGGAAGTGATGGTGGATATTGGAGTGCATATGTTACTGGTAAACTCCATAGTGAAATTTCCTGTACAGGTCTTTTTATTCTTGCCTCAAAGAGACAAGAATGAGATATTTAGTTCTATTTGTTACACTTCTCAGTGGTATATGCTAACATTTACTTTACAAAATCCCAAGTCAAGGTAATTTTTATTGAATTTGTACTGAGATAAAATAGCTGTGGAGGTTGTTTGCTTTTTCACCTGAAACATACATTAATCACAGACAGTCAAAATTACTTTCTTGAAAAATAAAAACAAAAAAATCATAAATTGCCTTCAGAATAGATGCTTCTGCCAAAGTTGATTCTGGCTTTAGTTTTTAATACATCTGGAAAATACCTAAATACCCCATTCCTGTAAATCACCAACTCAAACCATAACTACACTAGTAACTTTGCTACCCTGTGAGCCCAGATGCTAGAGTGGAACATACTCTTGGTTTTCTGTGTGAAAACAGGGATTCTGCAGCCTTTCATCACACTGACTGGAGACTTTCTCTGACAACTGAACCTTTGGGTTCAAAGATGCAACCCAAGTAGTAAGATACTAATCAGTGTATGAAAAAAATATAAGAGCCTGTTTTAAATTCTATTATTCATATTTTCTGCAAACTAGAGAAGTTGAACAACCTGTGTACAAGTATTAAGTACAGCTATCATGCTCTGTTTCTTTTCCTGAGGAATAAAACATTACACTAGCAGCTACAGAATGAAGAATTGCTCAGTATAAATCACCTTAGTTTACTTCAGTTAAATTGTTCAGGTTTTATATCACTGTGAAAAAAAAATATATACACAGCCTTAATAGGATACTAGTAAAAGGTAATATAAAACTGTAAGATAAAACAGTATACTGCTACTAGCTTATATGATTACACTTTTTGGATAGGAATCTTCTGGTCTGAAAGCAGAACTTTTGCTTTTAGGACCCGATGTATGTGCTGAATGTTGAAAGCATCTTGAAATCACTTAATCTGACATCAGGCTTATCTCCCCTCTGAAGAAAATACTTTAGTTTTGGTTATTGGTAGAGACAAATCTGAAGTTGAGTGACAGTATGCTATAAATTGCCAGTGAAAATTTCCCACTTTGTCCACTTGCCACATACCATCATTTTAAAAAAAGCAGCAATTGGCACCCACTGCTGTCACACTATGAGCCATGCAGCTTGCCCAAGCCTCAATTTGTTCACCTGCTGCTATTTTCCTTTGTGATACTCAGATTCTGCCACTAAATACTTTCTCGTGTACTTTCTTATGTCTTCAGTGAAATGAAGGGAATCATACCTGTACCTCTAAGGGCAGAATCTGGCTGTGGTGCGTGCACAGACTGATCTGATAAGGAAAAGGGCAGTACAGCACACCTCCTTCCTGCAAATGCCTGGTGGGACGTGGCAGTGAGGAGCGGCAGCGTCTGTGGACGTGGCAGTGTGCTGAGAGCACCAAAACAGGGGGGAAGGCTGCTGGGGAAACTCCTTGCCCAAGTCCACTTCAAATTTCTCTGCACCAATCTCATGAGACACCAACTATGCCAGAGACTCGTGGAAATGTTTCTGAAGAAATACTGCTTGAGATGTGCAACAGCACCAAGCAATTTCCATTTACCTGCTGCTATCAGCGTTACTACCAAATAGTGTTTGTGGCCACCCTGTTTGATGTGTGAGTAATCCTAGACCTCCCTAAAGCTGATTGGCATGCCAGCTGCTTGTCTGTCTTGAAAATGAGAATATCCTTGTGTTCATACCCCTCGGGAAAGTTGTGGGATACCAAGGCCTGATGGGAGCTGCACTGAGCCCAGAAATAAGTATTAGGAGGGTGGAGAGTGATTTGTTGCCAAGCAGCTAGGCAATTTGAAGATGGTGGAGGATGAAGCGTGAAGTGAAACGGATTAGAAGATGAGTGCACAGTGAAAGGCACAGAGCGGCGAAAGCCTTGGGAAGGGAGCAAGCCAGAAAGAGAATTTCTTGGCAGGGGGGAGAATGGTGGAAAGTAATTCGGGAGACTGGGAACAAAGAGATCTCCTGCTTGTGCGTGGGGACAGAGCCCTTGGTACTGCAGACACCCCCACCCACTGAGGTGCTTGTTCCTGGGGGAGGTTGCCCGTGTTGGTGGACAGGGGTTGCAGCCTCTCTCTCTTGCTTCAGTACTGGGTGCAGCTTGCTGGGGGGCTGCAGCTTGGGCTGGGAGGGGGGCTGGGGCACCTCTGCGTTGAGCACCATGTTGGGGTCTGTGCCCAGTGGTAGCCGCTTGCCGGGAAGCAGAAAGGTACCCAGAAAGGGGAGCCGGAGTGGCGTGGAGGATCTGGATGCCAAAGGCAGGCGTGAGTTTGGTGTGCCGGGATGCAGCAGAGCAGCAGGCTCAGGAGAGGGAGAACACGGGAATTGAGGAGGTGAAAAGAGTTGAAAAAGCGAGGCTGAAGTCTTGTTTCGTGGGTTAGGAGGGTATGGAGATGCACTGAGCCACTGATTCACAGAAACACTTTGTTTTTCAAAACCAATTTTACAGGAAGTACTATGAGTAACAGTTGTTTTGCTAAAGGATGCTGCCTTCTGCTTTTGGTACAAAGGCTAAGACGTGCTTTTGTGATTCTCCCATTTTGCTCCCCTGCTGCCAACCTATGACCTCTTACTGTATCTGTTTATTTCCAAGACAAGTATGTGGGATCCCTCTGTTTTGACATAAGTAGTAAACCAACACCTCTTGCTGTCTCAACACTACTTCCCTGAGGGCTTGGTGAGTTATGAGGTGAAATATATCCTATTTATATTCTCGTAGAGTACCAGAATGTGCAGTACTGAATAATTTATTTTATTGACATTTTATTTTTGCAGAATAGACATTCACACTAACATATAGAGAGCCTAGATTATAAGTGCAAAGCATAAAAATTCATTAAAGTATATATATATATAGTGTGATTACATGAGATCCAATCATCCTAATACAATTTAAATGCATTGATATTAAAGAAATTATTAAAAATGGGACATAATACAAGAGATCCAGAAAAGCAGGGCATTCACTTTGCAGATGATAAAGAGATTGGCCTTTTGGTTTGGTAGTTACCCGCTCTGTGGCACAGTTTCCTACGTTTGAAGCTCCTGTTCCCTGGGCTGCTAGAGAGCAGTGGGTGTGATGTTCAAGTCAATGCGCGCAATGGGGAGATACACCAGCACCACTCCACTTCAGCCCTCTCCCTTCTTACTCATGGAGCAGCACTGAGTGACATCTTGGATGAGATTGTACTTTCTCTGTCAGGGGAATCATAACTGCGTAACTGTCTAAACAGCAGCCAAAGAGAGAGGAGAGCAATAGGTCTGTTGGCCTGGTAAGGTTTTGCTGGGCACAGCTTCCCCTGCTAAAAAAGCTCCCACTGCAGTACAGTGATAAGGAAAGAAGGTATTGAACAAAATCTTTTTATCTGTTTCTGAAACTCGACCTTCCAAACCAGAGATTGCAAGTACTGCAATATTGGAAACTTCATGCTAGTGCTGTGGAAAAAAAAAAACCCAAATATTCTCATTCCCAGGAGGCTTCTCCTTCCTGTCTGTTTGGTGGTTTCTGTTATCCCTTTGAAGTGCTGTAGTTGGTAGCTGTATTTCTGTCCAGGCCATATAGGTTGGGTGGGAAAGTGTTTTTTTCCAACACAGGGATGAGTCACCTCAAAAGAAGAATAACAATTTGCCTTGAAAAGAAGTAGGCTTGTAAAACTCAAGGTTTAGGAATAAGACTCACCCTTCATTCACTGTAGAAGCCAATGGTAGGGCTGAATATCCTACTAGTGAGTACAGCAGTGTATGTGTACTTGTCTTCTGGCGTTGGAGAACTATATCCCATTTTCCTCCATAATTGTTCTAGGGCATGAAAAAGCCATAGACAGAGAATTTGGAGGAGAGGTTTTTTCAGAGTTATGGTATCACAGGGAAAGCAACAATAGAGCAAAACTTATCTGCTCTTTTAACCCACGCTGATTTTCAGAACTGAGAAGCTTATGCAGAAGACCTCCCTGTGGATTTTCTTCATGGTTTTGCTATGGATCCTGGTTCTATGTATACACACGTTTTCTCCTTTCTTTCATATGTGCACTGTAGGTTTAATATTTTGTCCTAACTCGCTTTGGTCTTCTACTTTTTTCTTTCTTTTATTTCTTCTTTTTTGCTTGCTTTTTTTTTTTTTTTTTTTTTTCCTTTTTTTTTTTTTTCCTTCTATTTTTTTCATCGGTGCTTATGTTTGGCTAGTGGCATTGCTGACTGCTGCCCATTCTGGAAAAGTATTCAGCTGGAAGAGTCTAATTCCCCAAGTGTTGATTGCCACCATGACAACAGCCAGGCCAATCAGATTTACACCCAGGCCAGCTTTCACCTACAAAAGCAAAATGCATCAGAGCAGAATCAGTGACGACTTGAGCAAAAGCAGTTAACATGGAAAAAAGAAGGCTGTAGGGTGTACATATGTGTGTATGTACACTGACTTACATCTAATGTGAGCCAGAAAAAGCACAGGGAGTATTATGTATCGGAGTGTACATTATGGGAGTGTTCAGGAGTGATGGTCAGGGGTTGATGCAGCTCACTGGAAAACTGTTCAGTTTGTCGCTTGAGCTTTTCAATCAAATAATCAGAATGGGAAGTTATACCACACACAGCAGGGTGATAACTACGTGACTTACTGTGGAGCTATGTGACAAATCTCTCGTGCTCTCTGGCGTTTGTCTTAACAGGTCAATGCAAAGGATTGTGTACTCCTGTTCTTTAGACCATTACATTCGTGAAAAATAAAGATGAGAAATGTGCGTATCCAACAGCAGATGTGTGGAGGTTCTTAACCTGACAGCTCGGTTGCATAACAGCAGTGCAGATCAATATGACTTTATATTAGCACCCATGTCATCATTATTATCATTGGCTGCTGTATGTGGGGACAAGGTGTCGAGGCTGCATGAAGCATGGGAGATAGGTGTACCCAATCTCAAGACTCACCATGTCTTTAATCTGGCAGTGCCCATAACTGAAGACAATGGCATTTGGAGGATTACCCACAGGCAGCATCACCGCAAATGAGATGCACATGGTGACAGGAATCAGGGTGTATAAAGGGTTGATAAGCAGGGTTTCTGACTGGAAGGAGAGAGGAAGAGAGGTGTTTTGCTTAACCAATAAAAACCACTGCTCACAATTAGGGTGAAAGGACCTTCTCTGCTTTGTGTGGAGATAAGATTCTGTGAAGTCTGACCTCCCTGGTTTCTAAATTTAAGTGTGGAAGTCTCTTTTGGGGTTGTTCTTAGAGTAGTGCTGTAATCTGGAGCTGCTCCAGGGGCTTCTCTTGAGACATTTCACATTGAAGGAGGGTGGAGATTGCTATTAGGCTGCCTTTGCTCTTTCTGCCACTTGTTCTCCGTGTCATTCTCTGTTGTGTCTTCTGAACCCTAACACTGACAGCCAGGTCAGTCTTCATACAAGAGAATTCACCACTGGTTGACATGGAGAACTTACTTCTTTCAGTTTCTGAAGATACTGAGACCATTATGTAAAGTCCTTCTGAACAGTGATTAAGAAAATTAATTGTTCATGGTCCAAACTCGCATGGTGAGAACGCAGTGATGATGGCATATTCTTTACAGTGGTCTAAAGGATTGTTCTTCCACTTCAGCCTTAAGTGCTGGTGAAATTTTACATTTTAGTTTGCATTGCTATGGCCTAGTTTTATGTCAGAGGGAAAGGGAAGGGTATTCACAAGGCTAACTTCATTTTGAAGAAAGAAATATCTCCAGGTTAATTTTAGAGTCAAAAAAGAGAGATTGCCTTAAGGTGGCAGTTCACACTACTAAAAGTAGATTACTGCTCTAAATTTCTCTTTAGGAGAGTCTCTTTCTGCATGGAGAAGAAGTAAATCTGAGCTCATAAGCCATACAAATGTAATTACTTAATTTCATCTGACCATATCTTCATATTACCTCACAGCTGTTCACAAAACGTACAATCCTGTAAAACTGTTATAATAGGGAAACACGATTAATAACCTGAATTCCTGGTAAGAAAAGCTTCACATTACATAAAAGAAAAGAAAAATAAGAGAGTTTTCTGTAACTGCTATTCCAATATAGAATGAATCTGAATGTATCTCTTTCCTCTGCCTTTGTCACCAGTCCCCTGATTTTTTTCTGTCCCTTACAAACATCTCTATTGACCAAATCACCCTCTTGAACACATTTAAATCTGATACAAAATTCAGTACTACAGCCTTTTCTTACAAGTAGTGAGTGAGTGGCTGCTAACTAATGAACAACACATTTAAAGTAATATTGACAAGTATCTCAAGCTTCACGTGGACTTCACCTACCTTGTTGATCACATCATCACCTTTTCTTGTACTCAGTCTGTGAATCCCTCAGTGCAGGAACTATGTTTTCACTTTGTCTGAGAGGTAGTGAATACATTTCTTGGTGATAAAATATGCTTTTGGCTGCCCAAGTTTATTATTTTTCCTAAGTCCAAGGCTGCAGAACAGTCATTTGGGAACCTAGACTGGCTTTCACGCGAACAGAGTACCAATACCCTGACTTGCTGAAACATTCCCACAAGCCTGTCAGGAAACAACAGACTAAAAATGTCACTGTTTTTACTCACCATGCTGCATAAAATAGGCAGAAAGATGGTTATGGTTGCTGGATTACTAACAAACTCTGTTACCAGGGACACTAAAATGCAAGCCAGCAAAGTTACAGCCCAGTAGGGAAGGCTGCTCAGGGAGAGCATTTGGTGTCCAATCCATGTAGAGAGACCAGAGGTCTGGAGGAAGGACAGAAGCATAAGAATTAATAAATACTTAGTATGTTTGTAAACCAGATGCTTCTCTTGGAGGCAGTTTGCATCAGACAATCCCACCACCAAATAAACAAAGTTTAGGGCAATGCTTTCTGCATTCCTTTTGTTCAGTAAATTGGATTTCACAACAGTGCCTAATAAATGGTTGTCCATAGTAGCAAAGAGATACATTTGGCAGTTAATAACATTAAAAAGGCACCAAGTCTGATCTTCCCTCTTTCTTCAGCTTATGAACTGGAGTATTGCAAATTGGTGATGAAGGATTGCACAGGCTGGGTAGAATTCATTCTGAGATTAAAATACACAGATTTAGTTGTCTACATGTAGGAGTCTATAGGAGAGCTAGATGTGTACTTATGAATTATACTGACTGTAAATATAGTCAGTAGAACCTAGAGTATAATTTGTCCAGTCGGCGCTAGGAGCTTGACTCGGTTGCCCAAAGAGGAGCACCCAGTGGCAGCTGAGCTGTGCCCCCTCTGTCTGATTGATTGGCTGCTGGTTGAGAAAGTGTGAGGTGTCCCTCAGATCCTGTGTCACGTCTGTCACTCTTGCAGGAATATCGAGATATTCTAAAACACCTGAAGTGGCAGACGCTTATGCGATTGACTTGAGCCCTTGAACCATCTTTTGGTTAACTAGATAGCTGTCCATTGAGTGCAGAGAGTAGGAACTAGGTTATGTACAAACTTGAAAGTATCCACATTGCAAATCCAAACTGGGGAGCATACAAAGGATGAAAGTCCAGGTTTATAATTTTTTTAGGAAGGAGGATAAAAATCTAAATCAGTACCTTGCATCCAGCTGCTAAGGCATAACCTCCTCCAACCAACACAACAATCTCCCAGGGCATGGTCTTCTGGAAGTCCTTCCAGGTAATGATGGGATCTAGTGTGTTAATGTCTGTTGACTTCTCACCATCTTGAATATCAAAATAAAACAGGTGTGTGACCAGTATTACATTGGCCTTTTTGCAAAGATCTTCACATTTTTCACACTAGTAGGAATAATGTAATATCCGTGAGAGTTACCTTGAGAACTGTCTGGGAGAGAGGTGAAAAAGAAGCACATAGCCTATTTCTCTGGTTAGCTCAGCCTCAGAAAATGCAGCATATTGATTCCAAATATCCTGACTTCTCCTTGGCTGCTCTGTCCACGTGAATAGTTATAAAACCCCATGCTTTATTCTATAGCTTTTTGAGGGACTGTGTGCTCTGTTGTGTACACTGTGTTGTGTATACACATATGCAAATTATTTGTAAACTACAAAGATAGAATTACAATGGGATTATTTTCTCAATGAAGGGCATTTTCTCTCTCCAGGAGGCCATGAAGCTCAATAAGGTGCATTTAGGTCTGTGGGTTTTATCTGAGGACATTATTTGTTTAGATGCTTGAGTATTTTGTTGGAGTTAGAGGATGTCATTTTTTTCTAAATGCTGCATAATATATGTCAATATATAAAAAAAAAAAAAAAAAGGCAACATATCTATATGCATTTGTAATCTCTACATAAGACTCTATGCAGGCAATTCTGTTTTCATACAGGACTGCTGAAAGCCTGGCACAACAAACTAGTCAATACCACTGAGTGCTACCCAAATGCAAATGTGAAATAACAATCATTATTATTGTCAAGAAGACTGTGAAAGAAGCACTGTGCAAAATTGGAACTTTGTCTGTCATTTACTGAGCTCTTTTATGTTTAATAACATTATCAGTGCTTTCTGCTGTATGAGTGATGACGAAATAATTAACTAGAGCTTATCTTCAGCCAATTTTGCAGACATCTATGTTATAGTTTTCTATAAGCAACTCCATCTGAACATTTCCTAAACCTCAGTCCTAAATTTTGTAACTCTGTTAACACAGAAGAGATGTTGGCCTCAGATACAAGTTCTATTTGTCATCTGCTGGATGAGACAATATGAATTAAAGCAACAAAAAAGGGGGTTTGATGTAAGAAGGGCTGGTGTCAGAGGAGAAACTGAACCCTGACCTTCCACAATAAAAATCTCTTCTTGGAACATTTTACAGAGAACAGAAAAAATGCCATTAAAGGCACTGGAAAATGTGTCAGATCTCTTTCTTGCTGCATCCCCCTTACCTTTTTCCCTTTTGCCAAAACATGGCTTTTTTGCTGGAATCAGGAAAAGGAGAAACCCAAGAAATACGGAGACAGTGGCATCAGTCCGGTAGCCTTTCCTAGGAGAGAAACAGTGAGGTTGTCATAAAAACACACTAACGGACACATTTCCAAACAAGGTACAGGGCTCCAAGGAAATTGTTGCAGCTGAAGTTGTATTTCCACCTCTGAAGTCTTACAGCCCAGTAGAAAAATATGTCTGCATATCAAGGATACAAATTGGATTTTTTTCTCATTTATTGAACGGACTCCTGTAGCCAACTTCAATCACTGTTCAACAATTTTTAACATTCCCATGAAAAAAAGAAATCCCTTTTGGTTTACAATCTATTAAGTCCGACGTACAGAAAAGTAGTGTGTTTACTGGAAGCAAGAAACAATAAACACATTCTGGGGATAAGCCAAACCCGAGTGATTCTTTAAAAAATGAACTGTAGATTGATTTTAAATTAAATGTTTAAAACTCATTCTGAAAAAAAGTATTTTGAGGAGTGCCAAACTCCAGGATTCCTCAGGAAATCCCAGTATTAGAAATTGTTTTGCTGTCAAAATTAGGATGAAAAGTTAATATGATTTTATATAGTAGAAACTTAAAGAAAATTTCAGTCACATATTCTTTGATATGCATTGTGTGTTATAGTTACTGTTAATATAATTTCTTTCAACATTACTTAAAATAAATGTTATTTTCTTCAGTCACCATTCTGTGTAATATTTTATTGAAATGGACATTTTCTTGACAAAAATTATCTTGGGAAAAATACAGTTTTTGTCAAAATTATTATTTCAAAATAAAATTAAAAAAAAAAAAAAAAAAGAATTATAGTTGCAATCTATTCCAGTGTCAGCTTCTCTGTGAATACGCTGAAATATTTTAACTTCAGAATCTGACCCTCCTGTTTTTTTATGTTTGAAATATGTTTATTTTACTTTCTCTACTCAAGTCGCTCTGCTTACTGAGAAAGAATACAATTTGAATAGATGTAGTTTAAAAAGCAAAAATCCTAATTTTTGAATAAAGACTTCGTTTTTCACCACCTTGTTAAAAGTGGCTGATGATGTTTTAAGGCCAAAAATTATTGCAGAAAGTTGGAAGAAGCAAGGCCATATACCTGTGCAGTTGTTTAGAGAATTTCACTTACTTCTCAAAAAAAGATGACCATCCGGGCACAAAGCCGGGTTCACGAGTAAACCAAAGCAAGGTCATCAGAATGAAGAAAAATCCAGTCACCATCTCAGGGTAGCTAGAAATAAAAGCAAAAATAAAAGCTAGGAATTGAATCCAAGATCTGTCTGAAAACCCAAGAGCAAGTTCCAGAAGAAGTAAGGGGGTAGAAATTGGTTCCAAAAAAAGGATAAAAAACATATGGAGAATAGAAAGGAAGATTAGTTTGAATTAAAGAATTCTACATTTGGCTCTCAGCCGAGAACTGTCTAAACCAAGTTAAAAATAGACTAGAAATATTTGTCTGTATTTGCAATGCAGCAATTCATGGGCAAGACCTGAAGGAAAATATTTATAAATGCTTGTTTTGTATTTGCATTATTATCTAATTAAATTTGTTAACAAGGTAAAGCTCGTGTTAATATTCCACTGTAAACACTTTTTATTGCATTTTTTAAAAGTGTAGAAAGCGTAAGAGCAAATGAGAACGTAAATTACCACAGGTATTTTAAACACGTGGAATAAATGTGAGGTGACTTGAGGATACTGTTTTAATTTAGGATAGATTTAAATAAAGTATGGTTTCATATCTAGGTATAGTCGGAACAACAGTCTAGATTCAGAGATGATCATATTCACCAAGTTGATCTGTCAACATTTCAGCTGAACAACACAAGAATGTTTTGTGAAGAATGGATTTTATAAGGTATCATCCCTTTTGAGAAATTAAAATCTTGCAAAACAATCTTTTCAAGAGTAATTTCTTGCCACCAGGAATAAGGATTACGGGCAACTGGGAGGGCTGGACATCTCATGGCGTGGGAGATTGCTGTAAAGCCTTTGCTAACACTGAACTTCTATCTACCAAAATAAATATGTGCCTGAATTGGGAAGAGGGGTCCTTATCTGCTTTAGTTCAAAGGTAGAGACAAACCATGATTCGGATGACCTTTGCACCCTGGTATAAACCCGAATCTTTCCTTTTATTTCATTTTTATTTAGAAATATATAAATGAGTAAATAATTGCATGCTTGGACACAAAGTCTTCAATTTTAATTCATTTTTGCTTTTAGTTCTACTCCTAACCTAGAAAGGAGGGGAAGAGCTGACAATTTAAGACTAGTGTCCATGGGCCAAAGGTAACATGGAGGTCAATATGAGAGGATGGTCCTGCCTGGAGAGGCAAATTCCTGAGGAAGGTAGGTCTGTTTTACCTAACGTTTCCCAGTTTCTTATATTCTTCTTGAATTCTTCTCTCTGACATTTCTTCCCGTTTGGTCTTCTTCTTCTTGCTCACAGAACAGGTCTCTTTAAAACTGAGGTGGATAGCACAGTAAAATTAGACAAGAGCATCAAGTGAGAAAAAAAGTCATAAAAAAATAACAGCAGTGAGGCAAACTGAGAATTCCAGTTTCCAGGGCTCTTGGGAGAAGACGTGCCTAGGGCAAGGCCTGATGGCAAACAATGGGAAGGGAAATTACCGCATGTGATCTTTGCATAGTCTAGTTTCCATATCTTCCAAGAATCAATCCCAGATATAGTGAGAAGGTCCCCAGGGTGCTCTGACTAACGCTGACTGGTGTCACTGAGCCATCTCGAGCCATGGCTGGGCTCCTTTTGTGTAGGCTTCCTCAAACAGCTGGTGGTGGCCAAATTTTTCTGGTGCCAGAAACTTCCAAAGGCTATGGCTAATTTTTATCATCACATGGAAAGACTCTCACAGATGCCAGCCATCAGTAGATTTTTTTGATGGGTGAACCATATGATTTCCAGTTGGATGAGGGGGGATCCAACACATATGGGGCCTGGTCTGTCTTTTGAGCTCAGCTTTGACATGAATATTCAAGATTCACAGTATGTATTGGTGGAAAACCTGTGCTGAGGATCCCAATAGTTTTCATGATCTGTCTGCTTCTGCTAATACTGACTTTTTCTAAACCAGGTATAATCAGTGTGGCACCAAATTGCCCCTGCCACACAGACCGAGGCAATCAGCCTAGTGTTTTGTCCTGGTGAAAAATACCTGTATTTCTTCCAGAGACATACAAGCATAAGCACATTTCATAGCTGAATGTATTTAAACCTGCTATACCTTTGTATGAAAGTTAGGTGAAGTCCTTAGTTTATTCAGGTTGCCTTCATACTGTAACAAAGCCTGGACATGCCTAATTGAAATTAAGATACTTGCAAGCTCACTTTAACCTTTTCCTTTTATCGTTTCCAGTAGCATGACTTTGCTGTGCTTTGAGCCACAGATCTCTGCTCCAGCTGTACCTTCTGTCACACAGAGGTGTGTGGAGTGGGTTGAGGAAACCTCTGCAGCTCAGCCAGTCTAAAATAAGCCACAGCAGAAGGGACTTCAGTGACTGAAGTACCATGGGAGCACAATGGCCTGCTTTTATAGTTCCTGCTATTTTAATATCTAATTCTGTATGCAGTAGGCATCCATGCCATAGCATTGGCCAAACCATGGAGAACGATCTCCCTCCATGTATCTGGTTAAGGCCAGGTTCTCAAAGGAATTAGCACGGCTCAAGATGCAGGCAGGGCCTGTCAGGTTAACAAAAAGTATTGAACAGGCTTGTCATTTCACTTGTAAATAAGCATTTGTGTGACTCTTGGTTTTCTGCACCTGTAAGTATTTAAATTTCCTTGCAAAACTTGCTGTTAGACTCCAGTAAAATCCACCACCCGTAATGCAACTGCTGGAAGAGAAGAGCTATATGACTTCTGCTGTCCAGTTCTACAGTAACGAGTCTACCCTCAGCTCTGCTTTGCTCTCAAAAATCATTTGGTAGGTCCATTTTCCTTCCCCTTCAACCTAGTCTAGAGTCTAAAAAACAAGTCTGATGTGTTGTTCCAATGAGGCCAAGTAAGAATAGACTGGTGACACTGAGCTTCCTAGGAAAAAAAAACACGAACCCTATAGGAATTCAATAAACATTTGTGCACAGACATTAGGCAGCTCTTTCAACATGTTATAAGTGTTACTAGGCTTAGGATGATGTGAAGACAGAGCATTGTGGCCAAGTTCCTAACATAATTAATTCTTTAATGAACTCCAGTGAATGGGAATCAGAGATTAAGGAGGCCTGGAATCAACCAGTATTTCTCAAAAAGTCAATAATTCTTCAGTCTCTGGTATTATTTAGAAAAATATTAATCAGCAGGAGGTCTTGGATGCAATGTGGAATTTCAATTTTTTTTTTTTTTTTAAATGAAAGTAATTTAGGGTCATGTTAGGACCTGTTTCCTCAAGATTAAAAAAAAAAAAAAAAAAAAAAAAAAAAAAAGACTTATTTTAGCCTTTTAATTTGAAACTACAAGGTTCAGGAGACTGACTGAGAAGGACATAGAGTTATTCACCTCTAAATTACCTTTTCAAATCTAGTCAAGGTCAGCAGCAAGCAGAATTCATTATCATTTTATTCATTGTCTTAGGTGAAATAAATTAGTGATGTCAGTTCAGCTTACTTTTAAGAGTAAACTAAATCAAATTAAGGCCACTTTAATTCTGAGTAAATGTGTCTGCACCACAATTTAATGCAGATTAACTAATTCACTCTAAATGCACACATTTAGTCAATTTTCATTAACTTTGCTGAGTACCTCTGCAAAGACAATACATGGTACAAATGAACTAGAAGACTGAGCCTTGTTCTTATTTTGGGGCTAAGGGACTTACTGGTGTCAGAAAGTATTCGTCTCGTAGGCTGTGAGTCTTTTCCACTTTAAAGAGAAATATATATGGAGGCTATTTACCTTTAATTTTAACAGGTCTTACTTTAATTTCATTGAGCTGGGGCCAGATCTGAAAAGTACCTTGTTCACTTGCAGTTATCTTTCTATTCATCTTTTAAGCTGTACTTTTCCAAAGGGACTTTTAACAAGATTTTTGGTCCACAATGAGATCCTCATAATCATGAGAGTCAAAAAATCAGTTGAATGCATAGTAAGGATTTCCATCAGCAATACCTAGGCACTTCACTCGCAAGCAGCAATACTGTGCTACTGCTGCCTATGCAGCATGGCTGAGCAATAAGGCTCCCTCCAATAATTTTTCTGGCAAGATGGAAGCCTTAGTTTTTGTCATTTGTAACTGGAAACATATTTATGAGACATGTTCTAGAGGATCCAGAGGTGCCCTACTTTCATAATCCATACGTCTTGAACAACCTGCACTCACTTGCAACCCAAGAACAGCCAGTGCATCCAGAACCAAGTCAAGACCAACATGATGAGGGAGATGGGGAAACTGAACAAAAACCAGGTTCCAAAATTCACCACTTCAGCATTTGGGTAGTGGCTGTAAAGGGAAAAAAAAGGATGCACAAGAAGTCAGAACAGTAAAAGGACATGCACCTCCAATATACATAGATGCACACACGTATATAGGTATATATATTTGTCATGGCATGGTAGAAAAATTGCGTCAGTATGTATTTGCAACAGCTGCATTACATGTGCATAGTAAAACCAATTTCCAAAGAATTTCAATCACTGGCCATGCCTGACCAACAGACAAGCCATATAACACTTTACACCTTTAAGACCAGGTGGTCTGGATTGTTTAGCCAGCTTCAAAAACCTACAGAGTTACCAGGAATTAAATTCTGGCCCTACCTGTGGTTTTTGTTAAAGCTCTTTTTAGTGACGGCAGACTTAAGAATGTTTTCACCCAGAATCTCTATCTATGTCTTATGAACCACACAAATAATTACTGTAGTCCCCTGGGCTCTGACAAAGATGTCTGATATGTGCATTTGATGGAACTGTCGTAACAGCAAGATCTTTGGAAATTCTGTAAAATCCAAATCCTTGGGTTAAGGATGGCTTCTGAAATTAGTTTTCTTTGCTACCACCAATTCAGAGAGAGAAATGAAGGATACCATGGCAGCAGTGGCAGTGGTAGATGATCAGAATCAGGTTTGAGCTTGGATGCATATTTGTGCATGAGGAGAAGTACCACCAGTCTTCTGACAGAGGTAATGTTCATGTCTGAGAACCCTGAGCATATATGATAAAGGAAATACTTAGCTGATCAGAGAGCTGCTTCCCATCTTCTCTGAAGCAAAGATGTAAGGACACATTTCTAAGTTTCTTTATTTTTGCACTACAAGTTGAACAGTCCAAGTACCACTAGTGATCCTTCTAGGTTTACCTAAAGAACTCACTTTCTAAGAACCCATAGAGCAACTTGAAGCTGATTTTATGACATTTCTTCTTTTGTGAGTATTTCTCTTCGTCTTCTTTGTTATATCTTCATGGCATTAGTGGTTAGTTTTTCAAAATGCCTGCTGCCTTCATGGTAATCAGTTTTTAAAATCCAAAGAAGTTGCTAAAGAAAATTAAATGTTACCACGTGCTGAGGAATTTTTATTTTGCATGAAGAAAGACTTAGATATGTATTAACTTAAGCTCCCCCTTTCAACCATTAACCATTACTAGTAACATTAGAGGAAGAAACAAAATTGCCTTCAGAGAGACTGTCTTACAAGGGTTCCTTGAGGTAGTAAATAACCCATGGAGAAAGCCACAGAGATGATCACGACGCAACCACCATTCTCACACAACCACAGTATCACTTACTTGTTGAAGTGCTCGAAGAATATGAGGCTAGTGGAGGTCCCTATGATGGTTGTCAGTCCTCCAATGGTTGCTGCGTAGGAGATGCTCAGTGAGAGGCATTTACAGACCATGTAGTCATGTCTGGTCTGATACCGGTACTTAGTGCTCAGGCCCAGCTCTGCAGGCTTAGGAGGCAGGACCAGTATCTGAGCCTGTGAGGGGACACGTTCACCAAAAAAAGCAGGTGATCAGAACATAAATGCAACTTGATTCAATGCCGTGGTGATACTGGTCCCAGAGAAACAACAGGTTTGCATAAGAAGGCAGCAGCTTTTTCTTCACAGGGGTTAACTGGGATCAGAATGAGAAACCTGTCCAGGGGCCTGAAATTGCCTGATCTGTGGCAGAAATGTAGGACAAACCATAATCAGACTTCTGGCTATGATTTGGGCCAGCTCCAGTTCTGACGGGAATCTCAGCGGGATACCGAAAGCCTTTGTGGGCTCCAGGGGCAGGATGCCAGAACTGCAGCAGTAGCAATCCATAATCCTTGAGGTTTATGAGCAGCCACTGTGGACTCAGAGCCTCTGATTAGGAATGGAGTACTAGGGGCCTCAGAAATGGCATGAAAAAGGCTGGGTAATTGGAAAATGGAAGAAAAAGATGCAGGAAAATACTGCTCCAAAAGAAACTTTCTTAGCAGTGACAGGAAAGTCTCCATGTTGGTAAATCAAGTTCTTGCACTAGGAAAAAATGTACAGTACTTCAAGGCACCTCACATGTAACCCAAGGCTGTCATTTAGGATCAGAAAAAAGGCTGCAAGTGGTTCAGATAGATATTAATTTGGATTTAGGTTTATGTAGTAAAATCAGTCATGCTGTAGTTTCATCGTCATTCTGTGGGCACCCTGGCTAAAATCCCTGTAGTGAAGTGAGGATATTAGTTACAATAATCACCGAATATGTATGGGAAATGGGTATAAGAAGAAAATAAATATTAGGAGCAGTTCATTAGACTTTTTTGGAAACTTACACTCAAGATGCTTTTGAACTGTGAGTGCAAATTTTTGTGTTGATTTTAGCCTAATCTTTCCTGGACAACTTACGCCATTAAGATACTACGTAATTGTAGTCTAAACAGCAATAATTTTTTGGATCCACTCAGGATAAGTAGAAATACTGGAATGGACTGATGTAATGGAGGATTTTGAGGGTCGATATTGGCCAGGACAAAAAGGAGGTGGATACTAAGACTACCTAACCAACTGGCTGAATAGTTGAATGGCCCGTGCCTGCTGCTGGTTTAGTTCTGAATAGGATTTTGTGTGTCAGGAGCTGTTATTTTTGAATTGGTCTACTTTCCAATGAAGCTTTGCAGAAATAAAGTGGGTAGAGCAGCCAAATAAGAAGGGAAACTTGTGATCACGTTTCTGAATGTAAAAATAAATGAATTGTACTAGCCACTGGGAGAGGATCTTCTGAACATACCTGTGCGGGGGGCATCTACACAGGAGGAAGAGCTAGTAAAGGGCCAAGCCACAACTGCTGTAAGATGATGAAGAATGATTCTGTGTAACACAGCTTACAAGGAACAAACATGAAACAGTGAGGAGCAGGTGATGTTCACATCTCTCTTTTCCCTCACCCCCCAGGTCTAAGATCTCCTTACCTGAGGTAGGTGCTGCCCATTGCTCTTAGAATTCATCGTTCCAATAGGGTTGGCTATCACATGCACACCATTCATACTCTGTAGGGAGGCAAATACCTTTAGATTAGAATTTCTTCCATTCCTAGGGGCACTTAGATTAGTATTTATGAAGCTTTATAAAGGTCATGGGTAATGGGCTTTTGAAAAAAAAAAAAACAAACCAAACAAACAAACAAAACCTGTGAACTTTACGTTAAAAAAAAAAATTGAAAAAAACTCTGATTTTATTTTAAAGTGATCTTAAAAGTCAGGTTATAATAAGTGTAGGTCTTCTCCCTCTGCCATATAGAAGAATCTAACAGATCCCTTGCTAGAGGCTATGACTTTGTGATATGTGCAGTTAGTTCTTGTAACTGAAGCGTCTCAGCTGCAGAAGCTGGCAATACCTAGATGATAAAAGATCATATATGAGCTTGCTAGAAACCAGATGGAATTGTTAGTTTACTGACTGGATCACAGGATCTCCAGCGATATGTACAACAAACACTACAGAACTAATGTTCCCCAACTTGATTTGTTCAAGCAGGCTGATAGGTTAAACACAAAGCAGGACACTCTGCCAACAACCACTATTTGTTTGAAATAAAGGAAACAGCTGTTTGTTACACAGCTGTGTAGACTCTGCTCTGATGGCTCCTGCATTAGAAGACAGTGTAGCTCAGAAGATACTACCTATGACAATACCTTTGAGTGCATCAAGGAGCTGAAGTCAGTAGTAGTAGCACTAAAAACAAAGAAAGGAAAATATACTTTAAAAATGCCTGTTCACCCAGCTCTGTCAAAAGGCACACACCATGGGTAGGAGAGGCAACATCTGTGGGAGAACTAGTGTCTACTGAAATGGTGAAGAATACAATTTATTAGTAGCTCTTATGTGATAGCCAGATACATAAGAGTTATCATTACATTTCACATCTCAGTCTCTAGCTATGTAGCAATGGAGTTCCACCTCCATGCAAGAAAAAATATGTAATCTAGGTAGTATATACCCCATTCTAGAAATGGACTCCAGTCACAGTGGAGTGAATCACTGGGCAATCCAGTGATATCCCTGTCTTGTTCTACTCAAGTTCTTCATCTGCCAACCTCTCTAATGCTGTTTCTGAGCACCTACCTGTACCATATTAAAGCCTTCACTAAAATCTGTCCTGTGCAGCATGCGGACCATGCAAGCAGTTGACTGAACTTTTGCTTTGACATTGAAAACAAATTTAATTCCATAAGATGTGCTACTTTTCTCACAAATTTTCAAGCTCTTTTTCAGGCAATGCTACTTTAATAGTAGTTCTGATACGAAAAATCTCACGCATACTCTTCTGTAGGGCTTAAAGGGATTAATGGCACAAGGCCAAACTGAAAATTTGATTATATGCTGCACAGAAAATATGGCTGGGATAAAATGAGATAACAGAGGGAATATTGGAGAACTCATTAGTCCCCAGACTAATGAGAAAACTATTTAGATCTTGCAAGTCATCAACACGTGCTGTTTGTATGATAATGTTTGTTTCAAAGTAAATTTTTAAGGGTGTAACAAAAACTTATTTCTCTTTTATTCTGAACACTTGTGAACAATATAGAAGGAGCTCAAGAACAGACTATGCAATTTATTTTCACACCTTCTAAGATGCTTCTCAGGATCTGCCTATAACAGTTTTAGGACAATAACTTTGTATATTCTCTTGTGTATCTTGAAATACAGGTTAAATTGATAATTTGACAAAGAAATTAGTCCTTTCCTTGATTTCCCTTTTTACCTCACTAGATTTTACCCCAAATAGAGACCTAGTTAAAGGCCTCACACTAACACTAAACTGTTAGTGTTTCAAACTTCTGAAAGACTTTGTCTATATTTAAATAAATATTTTACAGGTTTTTTGTGGGGGAGGAGGGATGTTCTTGGTTCCCTCTCCTTCCATGTCTCTCCCCCTGCCTTGAATGCTCTTGCCAGTTCAGATTTTCCTCAGGAATCTTCTGTAAGTATCTTCCCTCTGGATATGTATGGTGGGCACTCCATACTGTGCTTGGATCCTCTCCATCACTGTTCCTTCAGGGGAACAGAAATAAAACTCTCTGGACAGCACTTTCTTATACAGCACAAACACAGACTTCAAAAGAATATTTTTCAAACCCTGAGAAACAGTTTCCTTCTCTCTAAAATGGCCATAGTGTTAAAAAAATAAATTAATACTGGGAAACTTGTGTGAGATCCAGACTATTAGATTAATCCCATTTCTCATATAAGCCTTTCTTGTCAGTCACATCTGAAACATGTAAGCTTCTTGTAAGCTTCTGGTTGCCCTTCCTGGCTCTAATCCTGGGTTCATCTCATTGCAACCTGTGTAGGGCTCAAATCTCCAGTCGTGATGGACAGGGTTCATTCTTACTCCTCATTGATGAAGATAAGCTCCAGTGAAGGTTGGCCGTGCTTTTCGCTGAGACCTGCAACAGAGGAAGAGAAAGCAGCCCTTGGGGTAAGAACTGCTCTGAGCCCCTGGGCCACGCCACTGAACATGGAGAAACTACTGCAAACAAAAGCTTGTCCGAACCCTCAAGTGCTCTGTGACCCTGATGCAGGATTTCATTGTGTCATATTGTCCCCATCATGTGCCTCTGGCAATTAAAAGACTATCATACCTACACGGGATAGGCAAGGTTAGATGACATCACCTGGAACCTGTGAATTGAAAGAAAATAATTTTTTTTTTCTTCCAAAATCCTTTCTTTCTGGGAAGGAATGAACAAAATTAACCTTAGAGCTCTTATTTGAGTTTTTGTTGTTTTTTTTTTTTTTTTTTTTTTTTGTGGCACCTGTTCTGACCTGGGCAGCCTGGAAGGTCAGGAGTAGAATGGGAAAACGTGGGATTGTCACAGAGCACACTTTCGGGCCTCTTCTACGTTTCTTTGACTTGCTTCTCAGAGGTTTGCTTCCAACCTTGTAAAATCCTATGACTTAGGAGTTTATGACACACAAACTCCAGTATATGACCGAATTTAACATAAATAGTTTCCCAATTCTAATTCTCCTATTAAATCTTGAAACTTTCTTTAATTTCTTTAAAGAAATATCAGAGTATAAAGAGTATAGACAAGCTTCTTTGGCAGTACAAATCAGAGAGCTCTGACCTCAATAGAGTTCGAATTATGTGTATCAATGAGTCTGGTCACTGATAAACAAATGAGAAAAGAATGACCAATATTGACAAATACCTATTGGCTCCTTTTCTTCAGTAATGGTGCTTCCTGCAGTACTGATGACCTCGTGCTCCTCCTCAGCATTCACTAACTCCTGGAGCACTGCCTCCACGATTGGCATCACCATGGCTGTGGTGGATGTGTTGGAAAGCCACATGGAGAGCACCGTGGTGCAACACATAAAGCAAAGAAGCAACCTGGAGTACAGCACAGGGAAATCACCTTGAGGCAATTTCAGAAATATTAAAGGTCTCCTTGCCTAACATTTTCATTAGTCAACTGATAAGTATATAGGGTCTTTTATTTTTGTGAGCACCAAAATATCACGCCATGTGCAGATAAAATGCTGCCTTGTGCTGGGAACTGTCAGAAGATAATGTATCGTTGGAAGCCATTTGCTGCCTCACATGGAAATCAGCATGTGACATGAGAAACAGAGATTTTCATAATATCCAGGATTTAAGCATTCTTTTGTGTTTGCAACAGGCAAAGAAGGAACAGAGAGACTAAAATCAGTATCAGTAAAAAATAGAAAGCAAAGGGGCAACAAGCCAAGGAATAGAAGGTGGCAGAAAGAGGATGAGAACATCTGTAAGCTTTCAAACTCTGAAAGGGAAGGTGGGTAAGAGAAAGAACATCAAATCGAGCTAGCTTTTGTCCAGGGATGGGAAAGTCGAAGTTGTTATTTGTTCTTTCAAGCTGCTGCTGCCAACCTCAAATTACCCCAAAGTCAAGGGTTCACTCACATGCCTGGCTTTGCTCCAGCCATCATGACCATACGCAGGGCGATCCGCTTGTGGAGATTCCACTTTTCTACAGAAGCTGCCACACAAATCACACCCATGAGGAGCAAAGTTGTGTTCTTGAAATATTCAGCAGCCACCTGCATTAAGGGCAAGGGGGAAACAGTCAGTTAAAAAAAGCAGTATCTACCCTACACAGAGAGCATGCGAAATGAGAAGAAATATGGTATTGTGGGGTTTTTTCCCCTAGAGGAAGAATGACAGGGAGCTGGAAAAAGTGAATAATTCATAAATCAAAATGCTCTCTTCAATCTCTTTCATGCTGTGTTTACAAATAACAAGGCTCTATACCCACTTGTTAGTAGGTTATCTCAACTTTGAAGAGATCGAGAGAAATTTCTCTTCTTTGAGCAGGATGTTCACTGCCTGCAGTTAGTCATACTCAGCTAGGCACAGGCTGAAACAGCCACAGACAAACCTCTGCACTGAAAGCAGATTATTCATGTGCTTCATCTCCTTTTTCATTCTGGAGGTGTCATTGTCTCTCTTGTTTGTGTTTCTTATGTCTTTTTCAAGTGTTGGACAAAATGTGACATCCCTAGAACCTACAGTTTCAGAAAAATGTCCTTTGGGACGTGCCCTCTGAATCCATAGAGAAGGGTTGGGATATTGCTCTGATGATCCACAAACCCTGTGCCAGAACTTTTCACAATGGAAATCCATCTCCATTGTATCAGAAAAATAGTGCAAAGTTTCAAAAAAGAGAACTTTAATTTAAAGGACATGAGCAAAAATCATCAGCTGGCTCAGGAAAAAACTCAGAGACCATACATGGTCCTCCAAATCAGCATCCTTGAATGTCGTGCTTGCTAAAATATGAGGAAATGTTCTGTGAAGTGACTGCAAAAAAATAACAAATGAAGCAAACCAATACATTTTCTCTCTCATGTGAAAGCAAACAAAATGTGAGAAAATAAAAGTTACAAACAGATGCTTAGGTTAGAGACTAGCTAAATTTTTTATTTCATTCTGATGCAATTCTTCCCAAGCTGTTGCTGGAATATTTTTCCAAAAACATCGTTTCTTCAGTTTAAAACTATTCCTCTAACCAAATGTAGACGCCAGCATTTTAAAACAATTAAAATCAGTAGAAGCGGTATTTTTTCCATTGTCCTCAGTTATACTGACACTCCTTCACAAAAGTACAAGAATGACACTAATGTCATTTTGTGAAAGCTGCAGCAAGTATTTAATTATATGTATTTAACAAATCCCAGTGGTGACCCAAATAGACTTGGCCATTATAGTTGTGTGCCAGAACTTTTAAATATCACTTTTTTGGCTTTCTTCCACTAGTTTCTTTCTCGTTAACTTACTTTATTTTCCTGCTACTTTGTTAAAAAAAGATCTTTAACTTAATGAAAGGAATCCATCAAGCCAGCAGCACAAAGAATCTGTTGTTTTCCTTTATTCCTTTCACAGTCATTTTGGAGAAACAAGTGAATACTAATATTCTTATTAGTACACACATACACATATATGACACACTGGCTCATGTTCTTAAGCCCCTGTGAGTTATTTGCAGCTTAAATTGCTAGGCAAGAGCCCTGGGTTTCTTTGGCACTCCAGAACAGCAGACTGGAAATACTGCAGCATCAACAGAGTTGTTTATTTTAAAATATAAGGGTTTGTTTCTGTTCCTAAAACAAATAATACATTTCTCTGCAGTAGTCTCACTGCCATTTAATTTGGTATTACATTGAATTTCTGTCAAGCCACCCTTAAATTTTCCTTCTGCAATATGCTGCAGAATTTTATAATACAAATGTGTAATTACTTTACCTTTATGTTAGGATAAAAGATCCTGAAAATATTTAACTGTGTCAGTATGGAAATGTATCTGATTATATTACGCTGTTTTTGCACCACTGGGAGGAATAAGACAAGTCATAAAACTCTTGGTTCATGCTTGACTCCATCCATTTATGGGTATGTCCAGTGCTAGACTGTGATAGAAATTCAACAATTTTATAGTTGCTATATATTCTTCTGTGTTCTTATCTGTATTTCTAGTATTTGTAAATTAAGTGTGATGTCACCCCACCCCCAAAAAAAGAGAGAGAAGGGAAAATAAGCTGTAGATGAAAACAAATGAAATTCTTGGCATATCATGAAAGAAAGTAACATTCAAAAAAACCTCAAGTAAGCAAATTCAGAACTGATCATAGAAACTTTTTTGTACAGCTATTTCTTTGCCTGAGAACTCAAGGCTACAAGGCAGCACTAAGGTTACGACTTGGAAAAAGGACTAAGCATTCACCTGGATAACAAAATTATCTAATCTTGTACAGTAAATGGTAACTGGTTTTAGAATATGTAGCCTCTTGCCTTATACATCATCTATAATAAATATAATTGAAGGAAATTTTACAGTTTATCCCATGACTGCTGTTTATGTGGTTTTGGAGGAGGGGAAAGGTGGGATCCTTTGATGCAATCGGTTTTGGGAATTGTTTTGGCAGCCCTTTTGGCTAATATAAGCTTTCCTAAATCTATCTTCGGTAAAACAAAGAGCTGGTCAGCCCAAGTTATACATTAGAAGATGTACACTTCTTCCTCCCGTACCTCTTAGTCTTGCTAGCCCACTAAGATCAGTTTTATTCAAGTAATTCACTGAGAGTAAGACTATTAAATGATAAAAAGATGCACACTGCTCTGACCTCACTGGACTTCATGACTCCAAAAAGTGGGTATAGGAAAGCAGGAACTAAGGCTGCTGCACCAAGAGGTACCGCTTCAGAAACCCAGTATACAGCCGTCACGATCAGCACGTAGGCACATGAGGCTTCCTGTAGGGAGAAAACAAAGAGGTTACGTGTCACTGCCCTGCTGTGGAAACTGTGAACATGTTCATAAGACTCATCAGACTGCAGGTGCCTGGACTTTAAAAACTCAACAAGGAGTGCATAAAGACCTCCTCAAGTGCAGCTGTTTGGGTGTGAAATCTCGGCTATCACATAAAAGGCCAGTTCCAGAAGGTGATGCAAATGAAAGGTTTCGCACATAAGCTAGGGCAAAACATTGGGATAAACTCATTTATGAGCAAAACAATGGTTCCAAATGCATTTACAGATTTGTTTGATTTCCATAATCTAATAATCACCAAGCGTTCAACTATGAGTCTTCAGATTGGGCCTGTGGAGCTAGTGTTTCTACATGGCTTTCTCTCCAATATTGGACAAGAACAGGAACCCATAGTTACCAGGAGCAGATGAGAACCTTCACATTTGCTATAGCATGGATAAAGCTACACTGTGGCTCTTCTGGGAAATACTCTGAAAGACTGCTTGTTTTAAACCGTGGGCAAACCTACATTTACTGTCAGTTGACTTTATTTTCTCAGCTAATTTCTACAGACCCTTGGAAGAAGACCACAGACATGAAGGGCTTAGCAGCAATGGGTTAACAGAGTTAATCAAACAAATTTGCTGCTGTCCAAAGTTCTGGGAGAGAAAGCCACAACAGCATTGTGTTGAGCATTCACGGAGGGCTGATATATGATGGAGAGAGGTGCTATCTGCTGAATATTTTTACAGGAAAATACAGCTACTCCATGGAAGTCTTCTGGTCCATTTTTTCAGATAGATATGTCTTTATTCATGGCATTCGGTGGAATTCTCCTTAGGCTCAGTTTGTTATGCTTAGAAACCTGGGGATATTTCCTGCTAATAATTACAGTAATTGCCCTCAGGAATTTGTTTTTCCTTTCCTTTCTCAAATTTAAAGCCAGCTCCTGTACTGGGTCTAACTGACAGTTCTATGGAAGCTAGTAGGTCTGCACTGATTTACAGCATCTATAAATCTGCCTGTTCATTATTCACTGGATGTTCCACATGAATTTATCGAGCCTTATGGATTCACAGCTCACAATGACTATTATTTAGAAAATTCACTGTTCACAAATGTTCTTTGCGTGTGTTAAAATAAAATTTCATTACTTTTGTTTCCTGACTGGATGACTCCCAAATTTAGCAGCTTTCAAGAAGTCATGCAAGCAATTCCCACAGATCCTTGTGTAAATCAGTGAGTGTGTATTACACTTCATTATTTTTACGATCAGTTTTGTGAACAAGGTCTAAAGTAAGACTATACAGGGCTATGGGTTCAGTGGAATGAATCAATAGCTTGTATTTAAATTCATGTTTATACATATCCTTTCTACATTAACGCTAACAAAGAGCCACGATCAGCTGTTCCTCTTTTTAGTAGAGCTTATAGTAATAGCAGGTAGAACAGCACCCAGAGAAAAAGTTAAGATAGATTGCTATGTGCAATTTCCTTTACTTGCTTAAAAATTTCAACCAAGCTTACTCAGAAGCTTGAATTTAAATTAACTGACAGACCTTGCTCTGACTCCTATTTCAGAAAAGTATAACAATGAGCAGTTCTGATTCAAGTCAGCAGGGCCACCAAAATAACTGAAATAAGGTTATCAGGAAAAATAATTTCCTTGAATCAGATAAGCTCCAATTACTTTAGAGATTACAAAAAAGGCTATTGGAGAGATTTAGCTATGGATTGTTCCTTTATGGGTGGACAAGTACTCTGAACCACACAGAAATGTGCATATTTGTTTCTCTTCCTTAACTATTATAGAAGAGTACCTTGTTTAGGTTTTAAGCTCTCCAGTACTGGTTTCACTAGTCCTCTATGATCAGGTCCTTTAGCAAAACATTACAATAGAAGATTGTATTGCAGTTGTAACTTCATTGCTATCAAGAAGACATTGTAAGAGAGGCTAGGATAGGTTGGCTTAGAATGGATGAGATCAGAGGGGTTTTTTAAGAAAAACTAGTAAGAAATACTAAGGTATTCATGGATTATGAAGCATGCGTTTTAGAAAATGCAATTGCTATTCTGTTTGAAACTCCAAAGACTGGTGTTCAGTTTGTGACAACTTCAAATGATCACTCAGTGAAAAAACAAACAAATAATTTTGACTTAAAACTGGAAATAATTTAAAAAGTGAGGAGACATGCATTAGAGATTTTTAGTAATCTCTACTACAAAGACAAATCTATTTTAGATGAGAGTCACCGAGCTGACGGATTGGTTCATAAACATTAGCCACTTGCTCCTCAGTTACCTTTAACTGCATTATACTTCATGGTTAATATTCCACAGAGAGCAGAACATAGGGTCATTTTTGTGACCTAGTGACTATTTGACACATTTTTTACTTTGTAACTCATTAGTTTCTGCTAAAAAACTGCTATGGGCTCTGTATGACATCCAGCAGTTGTCTGAGGAGAATAATGCCTTTTAATGAAAAAAGCATTGATTTTTATTTTAAAGCACTGCAGATGTAAGATCCAAGAGATACGTTTTGCCAAAATTAATAAAATTAATTTCATCCTAACCTTATTCCAAGCTATCCTCTCACTCCAAAAATATACTTCTCTTTAATGTCTTTGAGCACAGATTGTTATTTTCTATTGCTCCTTTGTGTGCAGCAATAAACTAGACTGACAGTGGAAATGGAATAGGACAAAGGGAAGTTGCATCTCTATCAAAACCTAGCTGGGATAGGCACTGAGTCTTTCTGTTTCCCATGCACTAGACTGTAATCACTTTACAAACAAAACTAAAATAAAGCACATTTTTAAATGGTATAAAACTGGGTGGCAAGTACTAGGAAAGCCAAGTTTGATAATCTCCACTAAAAACTTAATCAGCTTGTCTAGCAACCTTATTTTCTCAGTGCTTTAAACCAGCTCATTTCCAAGAGAAACTATATTAAGCTCTTCTATTTAATTGAACTGAATTTATATATTTAATTAATGGTTACCAGATTTAGTAAGTACTGGGCTGAAGTAGTGCTGCATAATTTTAATTGTTTCACCCTTCGCACTTCCTGTTGTACAGATGAAAACTACTATTGAACCCACTTCAGGGCTCGAAGCAGGGAATAGGAAAACATGTGATGGTTGGAGGGACTACCACCTATCTTCAGTCAGTCCCTTAGGGGAAAAGAAAAGAGGAGCTGAAAGGAAACCATGACTAAAAATTCCACAATCAGGGTCTTGTATAAAACTTTTGTAACTAAAACACCTGTGAATCTCAGAGTAATTAAAAAGAATAATAAACTCTGTGTTGGAGACTTGCTCACTTAAGGATGTTCATTGCATATCTTGCATGCAGGCACATGGGTAAGCTGTGCAAGGAAGAGGCAGTCAAGCCTCCGGACTACCATCTTTGAGTTGATGGGATCACACTATAATACTCTCCCTTCAGCTTGTGTAAATAAAAACAAAGGTGAATGAAAATATATACCACCTGTGGCTGTTCAGAGCCTATTCTGTGCTTTAGGGTCCATGCTGCTGATTTGGTACATCAGAGTTTCCACCTCACCTGACGCTGCAGGTCTCACAATGTACAGCAACTCCTGCTGACTTTTGAGGAGTCATCCACGTGTCCTTGATTGAGCTCAGTGTGGCCACAGGATCAGTGGTCATAGCAGACCCTGCCCACAGCTGACAGAATTTATGCAGTGTGCTTTATGATATCACTGGTGGCTTTATGAAAAAAAGATGGATAAAGATGAAAAAAAAAGAGCAAAAATGCTCCCATGTCACTGTTAACAATGAGGGAAACAAGGACAGAATGAAAAAGAACCAGAGTTTGTAAAGTACACAATGTTTTTTTCTGTATGTGTCATGACCTGAAAGGCACTCATATGTGTCCTAAACCTGCTATACAAGTCATAGGTCAGATATAAATTTTGGAAAGGGAAGAATTCAAGCAAATTTTCTCAGTTGTTTTTTTGTTGGGTTTGTTTTTTTTTTTTTTAACCCAACCATTTCTTGTCACAAAATAATAGAAAAAGAGTTGTGGACATTATTCCCATAAGCTGTAGCTACAAACAGTTCTGAGTCCTCATGCTCCCTTTGATCGCTCTTGCCACTACACATGTAATGCTCCTTTGACATTTCCAGAGTTGTTCTGATATCATCAAAGAAGCTGCAAGCTGATTCCCTGCAGAAATGCAAATGTAAACCACCTGGTAATACTGATCTCTGTAAGACAGACAGAAAACGAATATAATTTTCTGATAAATGGAAATATAAGTAAGTCAGCAGGCTACAAATTTAATCTTCAGGTTTAAGAAGTAATCATAGTCAGTGGGTTGTAACAAAGTAACTACTAGACTAAACCACTTGAATAGTGTATTGTCAACTGAGTTTATTTGGTGTAGGTGTTTTCTTAATAACATTACAAACATTTGTCCAACTCTGGGTCAGATTCACAGCTATACTTATATACTATACATCTGTGGTCATTCATGTATATATAAAGTGGATGTAAAACATCATCTGATGGCTCTTCTTATCACTTTGCAGTAAAGCAATACCAGGAGATGCAGAGTAATAGTGCAGAGGAGCTTGTACTGTGTAATAGCAATTACTTGCAACAAAACTGTCAGTGAACTTCTGTTTCAGCACCCGTATGATGCTATTACCATTCCCTTGGTTATTAAAGACTTTCCTTATTGCATCCTGTGCCTCTGAATCCAGTAGGGAGAAAACATGAATGACAAATTTTAGTGCAGTGAATCTCATGTTTCCTAGGAGAGATTCTCAAGGGACATAGAGTATGGAGCAGTTACAGTGCCATATGGGCATGTCAGTGAGTATCTGTTCTTGTGTTGCCCTTCTGGTGACACTGGGGGAGATTAAACCCTTTTCTAAAACAAGCCTCTGTGAAATGATGAGCCCTGCTGTTCTCCGAAGAAGAGCATGATCGTCTGTCATTCATTCCCTCTCTTGGGAAAGAAGTTTGAAAACTTCCATACGAGGACAGTTGAGATATACTCTGAAGTTCAGAGCAGGAAAACTCTTTCAAAGGGCAACATACAGTTCAGTGGGGTAGGAACATTTCCTTTCTATGAATCCTGTTTTTCTTTCCAAACAAAATACTAGAGTTTGATTTTTGAAAACTGCTGTACATTTTCTAATCCTTTGCATTTCTATTTGATAAAGTAGTAGTATTCATAATTTCTCTGGTGCTAGAAGGAAGAATTAACCATTAGAAGGGTAGAGGAAAGAATGGAAATTACTGCACAATTTTGGCCAGATTTATGCCTAGGACTATGGAAGCACCAGCTGCAGAATTTTTAATGCATTGCAAATTTTGGTAAGTTAAACATCGTCATCTCTATAAGGTAGGAAAAGATAGCCATTTTATGGTTTACGACTGCAGATATGTGTATAGACAGGAGTTAATCACATGGCCAAGGGTACTCTATCTCCAAAACACTGTCAGGAACACAGCTGTATTCACTCCCATTCCCTCGTCTGTGTGTTAAGCACAGACTATTCCCTCCTTTGTACCGTGTATGTCTCTGAACCATCATTTATTAGTCACAGACAGAGATGCAATGTTTCAGTAGAGGTACCTCCACCTGCTTTAGTGTAATAAATGCTATGCATGGTCCTACATGTCTGTGAGTTCTAGCTCCTGCCTCATTTGAATTGCTATCCTATAAACCCACACTAAATTGAAAGTCCGTCCATGCATATTTATTACTAAAAACTAAAGAAACTAAAGTATTCTTTTTAAAGACCTCTTCTTAAAGAAAATTTTATGGATATGTTTGTTCTGGTTCCCTTTCCACACACACATTATTGTAGAAAAAGAAGAGATACAATATTTCTGCTCTAAAGTAGTGCTTCACTAGCTTCATCTGGTTCTTCAGCTCTGCTTGTGACATTACTCAAGGCAACTCTGGTTCTTACTGTGATGACTTCTCAGTGACTGCCCCAGTCCTTCAAATTCGAGTCCTTGATTTTTCTAAGAGCTATGCTTATTTAGGTCTTTGTCTTTCTTTTTGCACACTGCAGACTTACCCAGCATGACTACCTACTGCACTCAAAGGCGATGGTAAGAAGAAAATGAAAATGTACTTACACTGCTGGGGTATAAAAGTGGCAGAGGAAGCAGCAGCAGTGGAATGAGAATGACAAGCAAGAGGGTTCTGGATCGGAGAATCTCCTTCATCACTGCCATACTCTTTTACTTTCTGGTGGCTTTTTTCTTCTTGGGTTTCTTCCCCAGCCTCAGATGTTCCAACTTTCACTCCACGTTTTCCTTCAGCTGTGTCTGGATTTTCACAAAAGGTCTCTCACTGCCTCATTTCCTATCCCCACCCAGTCACCTAAAAGAGCTTTCTTAATTTATTTATTCTTCAATCTGTTGTTCTGAAAAGATTTTTCAATTAAAAAGACTTTCAGTTTAGGTAGGGCTCACCAGCACATCCAAATTATTATCACACCATAACATGCAGAGATTTACAAGTTGAAGCATAGTGATCTTTTGACAATTTTTCTTTTAATTTCAGAATCACAGGTGTAGGCGTGTTGCATCTTCATCCCCATGTTTTGGAAAGTTTTTTTCTTCCATCATCTAGCAATGTAATTCTTGTTTTCATAAACCAGGCGAGATATGTTTTGGGCTGATGCTTTTCCTCCTGTTTGATAGTCTGAATGTCTCAAATGCAGGTTTCTGTCCTGCTGGAAAATTATTAAAACCTACAATTTATTGTTCACTGAACATAAGCAAAATTGCAGGTATTCATTCTTAAAAAAGGAACAAAAAAACGAACAAACAAAAATCATCTGCAGGTCTTCCAGATTTTGTCTCTTTCTTATAGTTTTGGCTTCTACTTTGCATCGACCTTTACCCTACTTTTGCCTTAGAGTTTGGAATTCACAGGGCAGCAATTCCAACACAGATTATACTTGGTCTTAAGATAAAAAACTTGTTAAAAAGTTTCATGCAACTCTAATTCACCAATGAGGACTGTAGAAGGTAGTAGTTGTTCCACCCATTATTCAAAACCCAGTCACAACATTTGAGAAAAACAGCAGTCTCCTCTTTCTGACATGCACACAACTGTTAAAAAAAGACCTTTTTCAAGTTGCTGAAGAGTTTGCTATTGTTTCAAGTTCCTAGTACTGATGATAAATAAATAATCATTATTTTGTAAACAGAGTCTTTTGCCTTTCATGCCCATCCTGATCCCTGAAGGTCACTTATTCATAAGGCACAGGCTGGTCTTTGTCCTGATTCATGTGCCCTCGGTGACCGTAGGATTCAGACTCAAATTGAGAAATTTTAGGCTTTCTGCTCTAGTCTTCCAGTGCATTTCTACATCTCTGTCATTATTAATGCTTTTTTTTTTTGGGGGGGGGGGGGGGGCAGAAAGTACTGGAGCTTTAGGACCGGATCCACTGGCTGGATGCATGCATGACCTGCAAATGGACATCCATTTGCCCCGTGTCTCATAGCAAGCCGCACACTTAGGATTTTCCATGCTCCCAAACCTTGCCTGCCTGTCATCTCCCCACACTCTGCTAATCAGAAACAAACTGAGCTCCCCAGACTGAACTGCCATGTCCCTGTGACACTGAGTCCTGGAGAATTGGCAAAGGCAAACCTGAAGATGAGTTGGAAGTGCAGGGTGAATTCTTCCTGAAATTAATAATTGCATCTAAGACTGTGTAACATTTCTATACCTTGCAACTTCCATCAAGCAAGAGAACGTTGAGACCCTTCAGGCAAATTTACCAATTGATTCTGGAAGCAAAAATGTAGTTAATGTGAAGATTTTGGGTTGGCCAGTACAGCCAGGAAATTTATATCTGTTTTGTCAGTTTCTTCAGAGAAACTAAAAGAATGTCTAAAATACTAAAAAAAAAAAAAAAAAAAAAAAATGTTTTTATAATAAATCTATGCTTTATTTCATTTTTTAATGATCTGTAAGGTCAAAGTGTGGATAAATGTTGCCATTTAGAGGCAATTGCCCTTTACCCTGTGAGAGAAGGACTGTTTATAAATGTGACTCAGTCTGAAGTGATGAGATGTAAACTGAGCTAGGGAGCAGACAACCTACACCTGCATCTTAAGCAATACTGACAGAGGGAAGCTGTCATAAACCCAAAGAGCTGCCCTAAGGCAGAGTGCTCCTTCCCACTTGAACTCTGGAAAAAGGAGGCACTCTCAGTCCTATTTATTGCCTCCTCCTGCTTGTCAGAGGGAAGAAGGGCTGTTCCTTCTTCTCCCCTGTGTCATTGCTCCCGTGAAGAGTTTTGCAGTCCAAGATAACCAATGACTCAAGCTGCAAGTTGCTAAATAGTAAATATGCTGTTGAAATCAATACAATGCAAACCCAATTATTTTTATGTAGCATATTTTTATTATTACATTGATAATCTCTGTTAAATTAACCTGGGCAGTCCAAGCATATTCCCAAGGAATAAAAGTTTTTCCTACACTACACATAGTAATGGGAGGAGGGAAACAAACTCAGAAAAACTTTATTTTCTGTTGAAGAGATAAAGATTTCAATTACCAACTTGTAAGGTACAGTAAGATATGTATGTCATAGGGAATGATCAGATATTCAAAATTATCTGTAATTCTTTTCTATGGGATACTTACTGACGAGTAAACTCTGACTGCTGGACAGTCCTGTTGTGGGGTGAGGAGAGTGGCTGAGAGATATTTCTCTGCATGACGACTGCAAGCAATTAATCTTGCTATAGCGCTCTTCCTTGTTTATCTTTGCAGACTTGGGGTCACTGGCTGTAAGGGATTTATGAATTGCCCTGGTTCCAGGCTCTTCCGGCAAGTGGTGCTTCAGGGAGCCAAGAAGCAGAGCTGGAAAGGCAGGAGTGCACTCATGGCATTTCCCCTCCATGTGTTTATAATGCACGGTGTGGGAAGAAAACACAAACAGATCGTCAGTGTTAATGCTGAAGGCCTAAAGAGCATGTGGCCTGTAGCGCAAGGCTGCTTTGTGGGCGCTGAGCTGTGTGAACAAGTAGAGGAGACAGAGATGCTCGTGACTCATAGCTTTGTGCTTGAGGCTTTCAGTTTCCTTTGCCATGTGTCAGCCAAGCTTTAAGATGGCCAGCTAAGATCTTCAGGTATAAAAGTGCGCCTACACACACGTGCATCTGAAAAACAAACACGCACACTCATGCATACACGTAAAGAAACTGCTGGGAGAAACAAGGCTGAATGTCTTTTGTAAGCCCTTTGCCCAGCTGCTTATTCCACTGCCAGCCTGCCCCTAAGGTTGCTGTGGTTCCACATTCCCATACGTGATTGCTAAACCCAGTGTGCTCTGACTGCTTGCACTGTTTGCTGTTTGCTGCAACAAGGTGGTGCTGGATGGATTTTTTTAGCTCCAGTCCTTGGAGTATCCCTATTAAGGGATGCAAAAGAGTTCATTCCTTTTGCTCAAGTGATGCAAAAGCAGTTAAACGTGAGTCAGAACTGGAGCTGAAATCCTTAACTCTCTTTTACAGCCTCAGGGATTTTTGATCTGGGCCTGTCGCCTTAAGACATTATGGAAATAGAGAGCGAGTGCTGATATGAAAGGATGAAATAAATGTTCAGCTATTTTTCTGTGCTCTGGAAGTAGAAGCACCTCTAATATCACTAGAGAAACAGTTTGTATAACTTGTTCACAAATATTAGAGGATTTGTTTTAGAAGAGTCGGTTTTTTTCATTGCTAGTCATCTGTCTGATGTACCTCCTTTTTCTGTTCCTTTTCTGTCCATGGTTTTTTTTGCAGTTTATAATAATCAGATCCACTGTTTCTACAAACAGTTTTTGTTGTAAACAAGTACTGCTTTTCCATTGCTCCCAAATTCATAATTCCCACCACCAGATTGGTGAATGGCCTTTGTCTGCTAAGTGGTCAGATACAACTGTTCCCTGACTGAAAAATTTAGGATTCTTCCACGTACTCAGCACTTACGTGCACATGCATGCATGAACATACACACACATATACACAAGTGAATATATAATTTACCATCAAAAATGAGCCACACTGCTAAATTCAGCACCAGTTACGTTTTAATGCACCTTCCTCCCTTGCCTCAGGGGGATTCTGAAGCATGGGTTTAGATGACCTACGTTCAAGTGATAGAATCAGGAAAAACGTGTCACTGTTAAATTAAACAGGACCTTTGTCTTGTTTTTGACTCTGCTGAGGACAAATCCATGTTGCCTTCAAAAAACAAGGAGCAAAAGCAAAGTCATGTGCAAATAATGAAAGAATCATTGCAGACTGTTTGGAAGCGTGGCTCTAGGAAACTGGGAATATGTGCACAGGCATTGTTTGCTGCTGGTGTTCATAATGCCCTTTGTCATCTGCAAATGCTATTGCAATTAAAAACTGTCTCAGCCAAATGAAGTGAATCAGACAGTACTTATTTACAAAAATATTTGGAATTAATAAAATGTGGCATAATTTCTAAAGGCTGACAATTATAAAACCTCTTCCTGTCACACAGGGCCTTTGCATATCTTTATAATATCCTTTTACTAGGCAGCTAAAATGTGAACTTGTTTCCCCAGCTAGGAAAGCAGCATTCTCCAGTACATACACATAGGCATGTGAGCATAAGCACAGTATACTTATGTATTGCCTATAGAAAACCCCCTGGATGAAACAAAGTCATGTCTGTCTGGGGTGTACACCAGACTCCCTTCTCTGCCTGTCACAGAGTGTGCCTCCAAGCCATCACAAAAATCAAATTCCCAGGACTGAAGATAACATTTTTCCCCATTTAACATGGAACTATAAAGTGGATTCCACAAGAGGGAGCTAGAAAACAAATAATCTTTCATGAAGCAGGCTATTACTCGTTACAGGATAAAGTGGTGGACGTGCTACATGTGTCCTGTATCAACCAGAAGAGGTGGCTGAGTTGCCATTGCATCAAGTCTCCCACTGTGATGGCTCTTTATTGTATGAGAACATCAAGTCATGCTTCAGGGCTTTGTAAAGATTGACAAAGGATTCAGTCCAAGTGTCTTTCTGGTGCCCCATGGACTGAGCAGCCCTGTAGGCCGTGTAGACCATGGTCAGCACAGTCCTTTCAAAGTCTTCTTTCTTGAGGGCCCTTGGATAGGAAGACAGCCTGCTACTCAGCCTGCGGATCTCTGTGATGCTCTTGGGGATAATCTCATTGCAGATGGTGTCAAACTCAGCAGCCTTTCTCAGTGAAGCAAGCTCCTCATCTTTGATGGAGATCCTCTGGCCTTTGTCAATGTCAAGCTCAGCTAAAAGAAACTGGTACAAAATCAGAACACAGAAAGCTATTTATCTTCTCCAAGAGACTCTAGGCACAGTAAATGCGAATTAAAAACCTGTCCCTAGGTCTTCACTCTAGATCAAATGGAGAAAAAACTCTCACTGCCCTGACTGGAGGTGGGGCAGACCAGAAGGTCTCTCTGAAAACGTTGGACTCCTGTGTTACCTACCTGGGAAAATTAGAGAAGGCACGTAGTCTTCTGTTGTCCAAAACGGGTATGGGTTGGTGCTGGTGCCCCATGGGGATTAGAGAGAAGGAGACAGCAGCACAGCTGGGAAAGGCCATTTACCCTGCCAGGGACAGCAGTGGTGGCCTAACTGTGTTAGAGAGCCCAGCAAGGGCTTCCCAGCCCATGTCCCCTGTTTGGACATCCAATCTCAGTTTCTCAGGGTGCGGGATAGATAGATTTGACCCACGCACATCTTCAGGTGGGCCACTTTCCCTTAGCTAACCATATAACACCGATCCAGACTGCATTACATCTGCAGTCTCCACTGCTGTAAAAGAGGGGACCTGAAACGTTTTGTAGTGAAACTCTCATGACTTTGGGATCACTTTGCAATGACTAGGACTTGTGGTTTTAATTTGAACAAATAATTTGGGACTGAGACTTAGACCAAAGAGTTTAAATGCATTGTGTTGTTAACACGTAACTGTCCTGGAACACATTTGATTTCAGCGGAAAGACATTTGCTCTGGTTTTCACTTTGCCTGTCAGTGAGCTAGAACACACATTTAAGATACTGCAGGCAACTGCTGCCTGCTTAAGTGCTGAGAGAGGCGAGTTTGTCATATATATATCTGCTCCCTCCCTTCTGGTGAGCTGCTACATTGTCAGCAATGGGTTTGTTGCTGGGATGAGTAAAAGTGACATAAAGACAGATAATGGATAACCGCAGCATGGACAGTAACCGCAGCCTTGGTTAGGGCTTAAGGTACCATCTGCTTCCATATACTGAACCTCATAGAGCAGGACCACATCTTCCAGGGAATTTTGGAGCACTGGGCTGAGGAAGGCAGCTGAGTTCCGCTTGACTCGCTGAGCAGCTGGGAAAAGCATAGCTGGAAAATAATAATGGGAAAGAGAGTTTCCATAGGGTGGCAAACATTGAAGAGGGGAAGCACTTTTCAATACTATATTCAACCAAAGAGCTGCCTGTTGCAAAGACTTACTGTGCAGTATGACTTCTCACTGTGAATAAAATGAGCAGCATGGACTGCTTTGACTATAACCTACAAGGGATGAAGACTGTTAGTTCATTGTCCTGTGTCTTTACAGTGTCTAACATAGAGTGGTTTATAATCCAAGCCTGGGACTCTGAGGTGCAGCCATGGTGTAAGGAATAATAATGGTAACTGCAACATCAACGTTGCCTGAAATAGATGTTCTTTTCCTGGCTCTGCAAGGGGACATTAATACTGACTCTCAGCAAAGCCTACACTCTTCAGGCCATTCTCCTACTGTCAAACTTCTAAGACCCTACATTTCTCCTGGTTTCAGCTGTCTAAAAGTTGATCTCTCCTTAGTTGATAGAGACAGTTCCTCCAGAGAGTAGATCACCTCATCTGTCCTGGGCATATATGTCTGGAAGGAGTGACTCACCCTTTGGAGATGTCTATGTCTATTCACTGAGCCTTTTACAAGCTTAAACAAGACAGCCACATTCAATGAGCTAAATCTCAATTTATTATGACTTTAATACTTCACAGTGTTATAGCTAGAAACAGCAAAATCTGCTATTATTAGGTATTTATTCACCATTCCAAAGTGTAATACAGATATTGTCTCAGAGAAATGAGACAGAAAACAAATGTATAGCCCCTGGACTCAGCACCCCAGTGAGGTAGAGCATTTATGGAATTAATGACCTGTACAGTCTGGAGTACAGAAAACATCTGATGTTATATTACAGACCACCTAAATGCTCTGAGTTACTAACTAGGTTACTAACCAGGTAACTAGGTGCTTTTAAAAGGTATAAGTTCCTTTCAGAGCAGAGGGAAAAAAATCTGTTTTGTTTAATGTTTTTGTGTATGTGATTTAGATGTTGATGTTTAGGTAAGCATAGTTTGGATTTGCTGGATTTTTTCTAATACTCAGAAACAGGAAGTTTTTTTAAAACCTGTGCTTATGTGACTATTGATGCATTTCCTCATAAACTTAATTTCTCAACTTTAACTCTTGTTTATAAATAGATAAATTTGGAAACCAGTTTAAAAAAGGATAAAAACCACCTTTTGAAAAGCACTATGTTTCCCCCCTCAAAACTTAGAGTTCTACCATTACGAATAACATTTAATAGAACATGCAGCTTACTTCGAATGTCTGAAAAGTTTCATCCCACCCCCTCTCTACCAGACTTTTTTCCATGAAATATTTTTACTAGATCAATTTTGCCTTATTTTTCCAAAGTTCTTGCAATGGATTTTGCATGCTGCCTATAGAAATCCTGAACACCATTTAAATCTTTCTCTGCTGAGCCTGTAAAAAAAAGCTGGAGCAACTGTAATTATTTTATGGAAGAGTTGTCCCTGCTCCCCAACTACATGGTTCCTCATACAATTTGCCTCCTTGATTACCCAAGCAGATCACGAATATGCAGTTCCTTCTAGACTGTCTCACCTAAATGCAGTCTTGTTTCCTGGGCCATTGCCAACTGTTGACTTTGTTAAAGTTTGACTTGTTAATGATATTTAAGTTCTAGTAATACAAGGAGAAAGAAACCAGGCCCTCAGAGATTGTACTAATTAGGACTTATACCATCTAGCATAAGGAAAATTAATTGGGATAATACTAGGTATGAAGTAATTCATGCTTGACCCAGCAAAGGGTATTTTGGCCTTGAATTAACTAGGGAATATAGTATAGGTAAAATAGTTTGTTGAATTGCAATAAACATACTGCAGCTGGATACTACTAAGAGTAAATGCATCCTACAGGGATGGCTTTCAGGAATTTTGGTAAAACACCTATGGAGCTAGGTGCTTCCTATTGGATCCATATGAGTTTAGGTTAAAACTTGTTTAAATAACCAAATAGTTCTTGCAGGGTACACGACTAAAAGCCTGAAGAAAGGAATGCACCAAGTAACAGAACAGAGATGTTGAAAAGGACTTGATCTCTGCAGTAGCCTTTCCCCAAAGTGATGCCTTTGCCACCTGAGCATCTCCTCTGGCCCAGCCAAGGAGGTGGAGAGTTTGGGAAAGGCCACAAGGTCTCTGCAGGTTCTTCTCTGGGAGAGTGTTTGGCTAGCTTACCACTAGCAACTGGGACTATACCCATTTTCTGCTGCTATGATGGAGCACATCACTGACATTCACCCGTCTTGCTCTGGGCTTTGCTGAGACGCACTGGAGCTATTCCACCTTTCACTCTTGGCAATTTGAGAATGCAATTGAGTGCATGTGTAGCACTTGAAACTTCAAGCACTAATTGCTGAATAATTAAAACTTTTATTACCAGGCAATTAAAACTAATTACTAAGCAGCTGTCAGAAATCCAGTCCATAATGATGACGATTCATTTTTATCTCTTTTAGATGCCCTTTCAGTGGAAACAGCCTCAGAGTACAGAGTACCTCTTCATATGCAGATGGTTTACATCTCAAATATTCCCTGAGCCATGGAAAAGGTGTCTGTGGCATCGTGCTTCAGTACTGTCATGTTTATTGTCATCACACTGACTGCTTTTAGCTTTCAGACCAGGTGCAGATTCCCACCGTGGAGCTGAGCTAGGAGTCATCAGATTATGCCCATCACCACCCATCCAGAGAAGCCTCAGTGAAGGACTCACACTAAAATTAATGCCATATTCCTGATTTAGTACTGACCCACTTGCTATATCCTAGGTAACACCTCAGAAAGCCGATGGGTTTTCCAGCTGTCCCCAGGATAACGCAGATTCAGTTAGGAGATTCAAAGGGATAGCCTGAGCTGTTATATTGTGAGAAAGGACTTTGTATGCGTATCAGAAGCATGCCATTCTCTGTAGGGACCAGGCTAGCACTGACTCCCTCATCTCATTATCTCGTTCCCAAAACATATCAAACTGTGTTACAGATCTTAGAGACTCTACTCAGAAACTCTTTCAGAGCTCATTTGTATTTGTCATAGTGATCTGGTTTTCCTGATCCACATTTTATTTCAGTCCTTCCCTTTCTCTCTCTTTCTGCACAGTAGTCAAATCCTTCTACCATCACTCCCTTCACAGTGCTCTACATGAATTCATGAGTTCCTCTGAGATTGTGTGAGCATTTAGAGCAAGCACTCTCTGATTTTCATTACACGGACTTAACATACATGTAAGTTAAGCACAAAAGCTGAGACAAAAAAAAAGCTTTGCAGACAGTTTCTGCACTTAGTGATTGCAAATTCCACTTGCAACTTCTCTGCTGACTTGACTTCTTCCTGCATTTCCTTCCATCTTTGACATGCATTAGCTGGGCAGATGAGTATTACTGTGACAAACCATCTCTTTACTATTTTCTTCCCCAAGGGAGTTCGCTGTGAAGCTATCATGCAATTATGTCATAGGAAGATGCAGAGTAACATGCGTCATTTTATGTCGCTGTTGCAGCCAGTTAATTTCAATGGCAGTAGATGTGAAAGTCTGAGGAGCAGAGATCCCTATTCAGTATTGACAGAGAAAGTCCAGCCCAGTGATCACTGAAGTTGATGGAGACACTCTTACTGAATTATTGTTTTTACTTCTTTTACAAATGTGTCAAGCTGTCTTGAATGTAGATGTAGGTGCTTCTGTCCTAAGGGTTGAATAGTCACATAACAAAAAGCTTATGATATGCAGAGATGAGGTAGGAAAATACGATTTTGATTGTCCTTACTGAAAATATTTTCTATGATATATTTGTGTACTACCAGGGTCATCCTCTTCCAAAGCCCTTCTTCAGATAGGCCTTGGGAGTGCTCCCTGATCTGAGCTCCCACGTTGCCCACTGAGGCCTCGGGGATGGAGGTGGATGGGAGCAGTGTGCCTGAGCACAGCCACCCCCCTCCCAAACTACCTGCCCGACCCTCAGTGGCCTCATCTTGTGTCCTGGAGCTCATCACTGCTCGTGCCTGAAGACGATGAGCGGCCAACAACTCTAGTCTTAAGGGTGGCTAAAAGGGCCCATCAAAATGTGGTGCAGGAATCCCTCTTTTCTGCACTGCTCACTGCAGGAGTCCATCAAGTCTTCTACAGCTCTATTGACTCAACTCCATTTTTTAAATAAAAGCTGCAACCATGTTTGCCAACTTGTTGGCCTGCTTCCAACTCTTTAGCTCATGATAACTTGGAAGTTTTAAATGTAACATCACATTGGAGGCTGACAATAGCTTTATTTTAAAGATGTTTTCAACTTAAGAACTGTGCCAGAATTTTCTGGACCTCATTATCCACATGATCTCCCAGGTATTCCATGCAGTTTCCCTGATGAAGGTACAGATGTTTAGTTCTGCTTTCCAGTTCACATTCCTGCTCATGATTTCCCAACTGCTGCCTGTGATGTTTGCCTAATAAGTGCAAAGCATAGAAGCAGGAATGCTCAATTATTTGTGCATCATCAACGCCCTTTTCTTCTCTTATGAAAAGGTATGAAGCCAAGAGCATGAATCAGGCCCTGTACAGACCATTGTTCCAAAGCATGTACAGCTCCCTGGGGCTCCCAGGGACATGAACACAGTTTAACTCGGGTCATGACTCAGGAGGAATTGTTTTGATTGACTTCAGGGGCATGGAAAAGCGCTATGTCATTGCTACAGCGGGTCCCCTTTCATGAAGGATGGGAGGAGTAGCGGAACAAGAAGGACTTGTGGGCCAAAACTCCTGACTCCCTGCAAGCAAAGCAGAGTCATCTGTTGGCATAGGGAAAGGCAGTGGCCCAGCTGGAGTTGTTCTATAAGCCAAATTCAGTAAGCAGGCTGCCAGTTGTGTCTTCCTGTCTTAGATTACTAGGACCTGACTCTAAAGAAAGTCATGAAAATCATTTATTTGGGCATCACTGGCTCCCTGGGACCAGCCCCCTATTTCTGGAAGTGGAAGGCAGGGAGCAGTTGCAGAGGCA